CTGCTGTATTCAGTCTGATCGGGGCCCTACTTGGAATGCTGCTGTTCAGAGTATTGGCAGATGTTAAGGCAGGTGTTAAATGGAGGGTGTCTTCTGGGCTGGACCTTCTATGGGGCTTCCATATGACCTGCTTCTCGCAGGCTTTTTTAGCAAGGCAGCTCCAGCCCTTCAGGAGGCTAGCCGCATCAGTCCACTGCAGCCAGATCACCAAACGGTCTTGCAGTACCTCAAAGATTAGCAAATTTAGAAAGTGTTGGAGTTATTTGTTATTAATTTTAAAGTTAATCAGCAGAGTAATCAGCATTCAGCAGAGTATTAAAGAGTCAGAGTCCATGGTGTGTTTAAAATATAAAAGTTTACTACAACCTAGCATGGGGAAAAGGTATACGGGATGAAAAATAACAAAGAGCTATATTTCTACATCCTTACAGCTAGACAGAACATGGCAGAAGCCTAATGGAGACTAACTTTCTTCTTGCTCAGGACAAAGAGCCATAAAATGCTAATACTAGCCACTCTGGTCTCCAATCAGAACAACAAACTAGATCTGAAGTTGCCAGGCTTTCCAGCTCTCTAAACAAATTGGATACAAACAAACATGTGATTTAGTAAACAGTATTAACCCAGTAAATACTGAACAGTGTTTTAACTTGTAACTCCCAACAGAAAGCAATCATAAAAAGGCCTGCTCAGAAAGTCCACTCAGTGGGGCTTACTTCACTCCCAGAAAAGTTGTGTTGTTAGTGTGGCACAAGCTTCCTTGAAGTGGGGATCTAGCTCACAAAAGCTTGTGCCACGATCGATTTGCTAGTCTTTAAGGAACCTGGAGACTAATTTTATTTTGAGAGCCAGCATGGTATGGTGGTTGGAATGCCGGACTAGGATGTGGGAGACCCAGGTGTCAATCCCCAGTGTGCCGTGGAAGCTTGCTGGAGGAATTTGGGGTAGTCAGAGATGCTCAGCTGAACCTACGTCACAGGTTGTGGCGATAAAATTGAGGGAAAAGAGAATGATGTAAGCCACTTGGGGTCCCCATTGGGGATAAAGGTGGGGGGTATAAAAGAAGTTTTTTAAAAATTCATAGCATGTTTGTTAACATGTGGAATTATTATTTCAGAACAAAGTTTGAAATGTTATTTCAAAATCTTCTTCGTGGTCTCTGTGCTTCACACCAATGGGATCTAGTGCGCCTGCGCTGGATCAACCGGTGCTGTAGCAAGCTCTTTCCTAAAGGATTTTCATGCTCATCCCCTCAGGCAAGCGCAGGAACCCCACTGCGCATGCCCAGAGGGACGGGCGCGGACATCCCGCCAGTTCTTTTCCTACCGCCGCGTTGGAAGGACTTTATTTATTTATTTATTTATTCGAGTATTTCTACCCCGCCCTACCCTGCAAGCGGGCTCAGGGCGGCTTACAGAGGCCTAAGCCATACATAAAGTACAATAAAATTCAATAAAATCGCAATCACAACCAATAACATACAATAATAAAAATGTGCTATAAATTCCAGGATGGTAAGGTGACTTACTTTGACTATCTCCCAATCGGATCGCTGTAGCTGCCTCTGGGCGTCTCAGCTCTTCAACTTCTTTCTTCTCAGGATACTTTCCTTAGTTTTCCTTTCGTTTTTCACCTAAAAACGCAAAAAAAACCCCTTTATTTTCGTCAATCCTCTGAGGGGATTATTTATTATAATATTATTATAATATAAATAATATTATTTCAATATTATTTGAAATATTAATTTTTCAGAACAAAGTTTGAGTCCAGCGGCACCTTTAAGAACAGCAGCATTTTATTCTGGGTATAAGCTTTTATGTGCACACGAAAGCTTATATCCAGAATACAACTTGGTTGGTCTCAAAGGTACCACTGGACTCAAACGTTGTTCTCCTGCTTCAGACCAACACGGCTACCCAGCTTAATAATTTTAGACTGACTATTAAAACGAATGCAAATTATAGAAAATGCAGGCCAACTCTTGTGGGGGGGGGATGATATGGTTGATACACATTTTTTTAATGAGTCAATTATCTTGATTGTGTTCGACAAAACAAACACTCCCTTAGAACAGATGAGGAAACATTTAATTATTGTTTGTCGCATTGCTGTACAGTTCAGATTGTACTATGAATAAATGTAGGGATTTCAGTAGGTGAAATGTGTGTTTACGTTATCCATGCTACATATAGCAAGACAAAAATACTTTGTTGAAATTTGTCAGTGGCAGTAGATTAGTTCTTTCTAAATAGAAGGACGATTCATATGATGAAGATCTGGAACGATAAAAATGGTTAAATTAGCTTTATTAAGGCCCCGGTCACACGGGCCGGATATCGCGGAGGGGGAGGCGTGGCTGTTTGCCCCAGGGGCTAAATAACGCACGGTTGCGCGATCAGACCTCCCGTGGAGGTCCCGTGGAGGTCCCATGGGTAGGGGGAGGTGCTGATCATAGGACAATCCTGCCGTGCGGCGCAGTGCAGCAAATGGGTTGGGGGGGGGTTGTACACCAAAGTATGCGCATGCTCCGTTGGGTGCTTGTGCGCATCCATGGAGACTTGGGGGGGGAACCCTTTTTGCAAGGGGACATGGGCGGGCGCCGGATGCCACCGGAAACGCGATCAGACGCCCGCCCTTGCCCCATGGTTACCGGAAACTAGTACTTTGGAGGTAATAGTTTTTTACCCCAAATCTTCGGCAGGAAGCCTCGGGTGAGCCACGGGAGCTCTACGCTTCCCAGATGTGGCGGTGAGATCGCGCCCGGAAAATCCGCCTATCTTCCGGCTCTCTAGCGTGGCTAATGTTCCGTGTGACCGCAGCCACAGATGTGCTTTCAAGTAGGGGGATTATTATTGTTTATCTTCACTTATAAATCCACCATTCTCATTGGGACTCAAGGCAGATTACAAATATAATGGAACTAAGTCAATTAGCAAATGAATTACAAATATGGTTAAAAAAGTCAATTTAACAGCAAAGATTACTGGTAAAACAGAATAATGGAACGGAGCTGGGCAGATTACAGGAATGAGAAAGGCTATTCAGTGAATCAGTGAGCACAGTACAAAATACAGTCAAATAATCTATATACTAATAGGCAAGTCCTTATGGCGACCCTGTATGGTTTTCACGCTGCTCCTAAATGCTGTAAGGGAATATCTTTGTGACAGCGTCTTTGATCATCACTACTGTTCATGGTCAGATTATAAGAACAGTAACGTTTCTGCTGTAGTCTCGCTGACGTTTTTGACATATCTTAATTTTCAAAAACAGCCTTTTGGATATCATAGCGTCCTATATGTTATCCAAAAAGCTGTCTCTGAAAATTGAGATCTCTCGAAAACTCAGCGAGACCCCAGTAGAGGCATTTACTATTCTTGTAATTTTGCTCTGCCCCTTGAAGATGAATGAAACATCAACTGAATATCACACCAGTTGGTGGGGGAATTGAGGTGTTTGCTAATTTACTCCCAACGCAGCAAGAGCGATAAAGCTGAACTGATGTTTTTGAAACATTCGGCAATGAGAGTTCTGAGTTCGGTTGATTGAAATGTTCCTAGATGTTGTCTCAGCTGCTGTGTTGTTTTGGACTGTCAGTGATCACACTTGGAAAGAAGAACTGTCAGAACATCAAGTCAAGCGAGAGATTTGGCTGTGAGCATTTAGTGGAAAGAGGTTCTTCCGAGAAGAGAGTAGTCAGTATATGTGTTATCAGCATCTGTCTGTATTATTAAATTTATATTCCACTCTGTCTGTCCCTGTCAAATGCAAACAGTTCTGTCCGACAGAGGCTCACAGTTTAAGCAACTGGTTTGGGGAGTGAGGGGTCCAATGAAAGAAAAGTGAATTGTATAGACACAATCTTTTTTTTAAAAAAATGTTAGACTTTGTATATGGACATCATGTATGCACTGTGTGTGTGGGAAAACCACCCTCGCATATGAAACTACCCGTCCACTCTGGTCATCTTCAGAGGCTTTGCTTTGGGTGGGCGCCCCGCTGCCATCTAAGGCTAGATGGGTAGCAACTCAGTAGAGGACCTTCTCAGTTGTGGCACCAAAACCGTGGCACTTCCTCCCCAGGCAGAGTTGTCTGTCTTCCTCTGTTGTTGTCTTCTGCCAGCAAGTGAAGACTTTTTCATTTGGTGTAAACCCCCCCCTCCCAGTAAACTCTTATTGGCATTCTTCCCTGGTTGTGTTTGTGTGTTTGTGCATGCATTTAAAGGATGTTTTAATGTTTTAAATGTTTTATTGCATAGCACTGAGGTCAGGTTCTCAAAACTGTCTGACTCTCTGTGGTCCACAAGACGCCAGATTGGCCTCGGCCAGGGCCTTCTCAGTGGTGGCTCCATACTGGTGGAATGAGCTCCCGGAAGACATCAGGGCCCTGCTGGACCTCCTACAGTTCCGCAGGGCCTGTAAAACAGAGCTCTTCCACCAGGCCGCCGATTAGGAGCCGCCACTGACCGCTGGCCACTGACCACATACTGATAACACCTGAGTAGTTAACATCTGAACTGTTAAGGCCCTCTTTGTTAACTTGAATAACAACAGCCAGTGTAATTTGACCCTATGGTACGCTACCGCCATCAGCATTTTATCTTTCTATATGTATTTATATGGAGTTATGATCGTCATTTGCTGCATACTATGTTAATTGCATTGTTGCAATGCATCTGTGTTTTAACGTATTTTAACCTATTGTAAGCCGCCCTGAGCCTGCTATGCAAGGAGGGCGGGATATAAATCGAATAAATAAATAAATAAACGAATAAATAAATAAATAAAGATGTTCACTGCCTTGGAGACTGTTTCGGGGCAAAGGTGGCATATAAATGTTTTTAATTATGAAATAAATGAAAGAGCATACATTGCACATCAAACGAACTTACACTGGTATCCGTTCCTGATTCCCAGTTTATTCCTCCAGTCCTTATAGTTATTGCTAAAGCGCTGGCACTGATCAGTTTTTAATGCTGTGTCTGTCTGTCTGTCTTACAGGATTAGTTCAGAACGCAGAAAGGAGAAGTCCAGAGACGCAGCCAGATGTCGGAGGAGCAAGGAATCGCAGGTCTTCTACGAACTCGCTCACCAGTTGCCCCTCCCCCATCACGTGAGTGCGCATCTCGACAAAGCCTCTATTATGAGGCTAACCATCAGCTACCTGCGCATGAGGAAGCTGCTCGATGCAGGTGAGAGTTTGCAGATGATTGGTCAAGAGAGCACGGGCGAGAAAGAGGCCTGAAACGGCCAACGAGTAGACACATCATTGAAGCATCCGTGCCATGATTATATGAAACAGCATCACTTCCCAGGCCGGGCCCCCCCCCCCCCCCCCGGGCTCTGGGAGATCATTTCGTAGAAATATCGACGGGGGAAATCCAAAACTTATCGGTGCAAGGAGAGTTACTCTAGTCTAAACCCATTCATTTCAGTGGGCTTAGACTGGAGCAAGTCTCCTTAGGATTTTATTTATTATTATTTCATTACATTTACGAATCGCCCAATCCCCACAAATGTGGGGCTCTAGGCGACGGACAAATCTAAACTATTAAAAGCCATAAAAACCATATCCAGCATATTACTCGCTCCCGTCTCTAGTTCCAGCTCCTGCCAACCTGGCAGTTCGAAAGCAAGAAAATTGCAAGTAGATAAATAGGTACCACTTCGGTGGGAAGGGAACAGCGTTCCGTGTGCCTCGGTGTTTAGTCATGCCGGCCACATGACCACGGAAACGTCTTCGGACAGCGCTTGCTCTTCGGCTCTGAAACGGAGATGAGCACCGCAACCCTAGAGTCGGATTCGACTGGCTTTCGAGCAAGGGAACCTTTACCTTTACCTTAGCATATTATACACAATTACAAGAAGTGGTGGATTTATGGTTTGTAGTTCCCCCCCTGTCCCCGGTCTGTGAGTGCTTCACGGGCAATGGGAGGGAATAGCTCACAAGGTAGGGTAGGGTGCCAGCCAGGATGTAAACTGTCGCTGTCCTCAACCAAATGCCTGGCGGAACATCTCTGCCTGACAGGCCCTGCGGAGTTGCGTAAGATCGCGCAGGGCCCTGTTGTTAGGCAGAGAGTTCCACCAGGCCAGGACCAAGGCTCCCTCTAAGCTGTGGAGTCTTGTGAGCAAAAATTCTACTTTGTGAGCGACTGGCATTAAAGCTGTGAGCGAGGGGATTGGCTGCTGCATGAATTAGTTTGCTCCGGAGCCCTCCTTCCTGAGCTAAGGCAAAAAATGTGTGAGCCAGAGGCTAAAAAACTGTGAGCTGGCTCACACTAACTCATCTTAGAGGAAACACTGGTCAGGACCAGGGATGAGAAGGCCTTAACCCTGGTTGAGGACAGCCAGATCCCTCTAGGGCTGCGGATCACCAGTAAGTTATTCTGTGAAGAGCGTAATGCTCTCCCAGGGGTATAACGGAGGATTACACTGTGTATCTCTCCTTGAGAGCCAGTTTGGCGTAGTGGTTAAGTGTACGGACTCTAATCTGGGAGAACTGGGTTTGATTCCCCACTCCTCCACTTGCCCCTGGCTGGATGACCTTGGGCGAGCCATAGTTCTGATAAGAGCTGATCTTGAAAAAAGAGCAGTTTCTGTCAGAGCTCTCTCAGTCCCACCTGCCTCACAGAGTGTCTGTTGTGGGGAGGGGAAGGGAAAGGAGTTTGTAAGCCGCTCTGAGACTCCTTTGGGTAGTGAAGGGCGGGGTATAAATCCAATCTCTTCTCTTCTTCTTCTATTGGTGGGACTCAGAGTTCTAACCCCGCCCCCAGCCAGTATTGGTATTGCTGTCTCTGCGGGGAAAGGTAGATGTTAATGAACGTGTCCCCACCTCCCAACTGTTGGCGCAAGGGAGTTTTGGCTATGCGCAATGTTTTGATTCGCCCGCTTCTCCCTGTGCAGAGAGATTTTCTGGATAGGGATTTCAATTTCTTTCTAGCAGACAAGAGTCCAGCAATAGCACTATTTGTTGCTGAATTTTTGACTTATGTATGGAAGTCAAGAGTAGTACTCTGTAAATCTCGTAAGGCATGTTAGGATTGCTTTGTATTTTAAGATAATGGGAATATTGGTTGATGTTGTTTTAGTACTATCCCTTAAATTTTTCCTTTGTTCTGGTTATCTGTGTTATGCCAATAAAGGTTTTCTGTTCTGTTCTGCTTACTTTCTCATTATCTCGTTTGGAAGAGATAGAAAGCTCACATTTTCTATTAATAGATTCAGGTGGGTAGCCGTGTTGGTCTGAAGCAACAGAACAAAGTTTGAGTCCAGTGGTGCCTTTGAGACCAACAAAGTTTAATTCTGGGTATAAGCTTTTGTGTGCATGCACACTTCTTTGTGTATCTGAAGAAGTGTGCATGCACATGATAACTTATACTCAGAATTAAACTTTGTCGGTCTTAAAGGTACCACCGGACGCAAACTTTGTTCTGTTTCCTGCTAATGTATATCAGGACTTTAGTCCTTTCGGCGTTCTACATAAATATTCTGGCTCCGGCTGATGGTTGGTGTTTTTTTAAAAATCTCGGCGCTGTCTTAATCCACTTTCTGTAGCACACTTCTTCAGTGCTTCAGATATGATTTCCTAGGAGACAGAAAAGCTTTGTCTCTTTCAATGCTTGCCCATACAAGTCGGCAGCTTGGCTATTTTTCCCCACCTAAGCATATTTTGTAAACCACTAAACAGGCAGATTTGTTTTTTAAAAACGTACAGACTCATTTGTCACTGCACTATTTTGGGGTGAAGGACAGCTTGGTCGGTACAGGATGCTACCTGTTCTGTCCTGCAGAGGCAGAAGAAGCCGTGGTGTTGCCAAATTGCTCATTGTTCCTTTAAAAATGTGGGTGCCTTTCTGAGGTTCTCATTCCCCAGCGAAGCGCATGTGGCATTGACCATTGTGGCTTGAGAAAAGCTGGTCATGGGTCTGTGCCTGTGTGGGCTTGTGGGCAGGGACTAGTGGCTAATGGGATGGGACTTTGCCTTGGGACACGTCTTGGAAGGTTTTCCCCCTATTATCTTGCACTTCCTTTTGAACTCACTGCATAATAAACTTTTATTTTCTTTCCTTGGTAAGGATTGTTGGGTTACCAAGTTTTTTCCCCCATGGTAGCCAAGCCTCATACTCCAAACTGGCTCTCAAGGAGAGATACACAGTGCAATCCTCCGTTATACCCCTGGGAGAGCATTACGCTCTTCACAGAATAACTTACTGGTGATCCGCGGCCCTAGAGGGATCTGGCTGTCCTCAACCAGGGTTAAGGCCTTCTCAGCCCTGGTCCTGACCAGTGTTCCCTCTAAGATGAGTTAGTGTGAGCCAGCTCATAGTTTTTTAGCCTCCGGCTCACACATTTTTTGCCTTAGCTCAGAAAGGAGGGCTCCAGAGCAAACTTAATTCATGCAGCAGCCAAATCCCTCGCTCACAGCTTTAATGCCAGTCGCTCAGAAAGTAGAATTTTTGCTCACAAGACTCCACGGCTAATAAACATTCCCCGACCTGGATGGCCCAGGCTAACCTGATCTTGCCAGGTCTCGGAAGCTAAGCAGGGTCAGCCCTAGCCAGTATTTGGATGAGAGACAACCAAGGAATTCCAGGGTCGTGATGCAGAGGCAGGTAATTAGATTCATGGAGGATAGGTCTCTCAGTGGCTACTAGCTTTGGTGACTGAGGGGAACCTCCACATTCCAAGGCACTAGTCCTCTGAATCCCAGAGCCAGGAGACAACATAAGGGGAAGGACAGCCTCTCTGCCCTGTTGCTGGCCCTCCTGAGGAACTGGTTGGCCACTGTGTGAGACAGGAGGCTGGACTAGATGGGCCACTGGTCTGATCCAGCAGGGCTCTTCCTATGTTCTAATGAAGGCCTCGGCCTCTCTGCCCTGCTTTTGGCCCTCCAGAAGAACTGGTTGGCCACTGTGTGAGACAGGAAGTTGTACTAGATGGAGCACTGGTTTGATCCAGCCAGGGCTCTTCTTAGTTCTTGTGTTACATTCTTAACCACCTCTGAATGTCTTTTGCCTTGAAAACCCTACAGCAGTGATGGCGAACCTTTTAGAGACCGAGTGCCCAAACTGCGACCCAAAACCCACTTATTTATCGCAGAGTGCCAACACGGCAATTTAACCTGAATACTGAGGTTTTACTTTAGAAAAAACAACTCATACATTAACTTAAGATGATCCAAACAAAGTAAGGAAAGTAATCCCAAATGCTTTCATTTACTTAAAATTATTTGGTAGAGAATTTGACACTTTAATGATGGTCTGGGCCTGTTTGGGGCGATGGCACGCATGCCCACAGAGAGGGCTCTGAGTGCCACCTCTGGCACCCGTGCCATAGGTTCGCCACCACTGCCCTACAGAGTTAGCAAAAAATGGCCAACAAAAAAATGTGACCGCAGCTGTCTTGTAATCAACCCATAGGGTTGTTGTGAGGATAAAATGGAGGAATGGAGAGTAATGTAGAAGAAAAGAAATTGGAAGGAGACTCAGGGCGGCTTACAATCTCCTTTCCCTTTGCCACCCCACAACAGACACACTGTAGGTGGGGGTGAGAGAGCTCTTTCAAGGACTGCTCCTGAGAGAACAGCTCTGACAGAGCCATGACTGACCCAAGGTCACTCCAGCAGCTGGATGTGGAGGAGTGGGGAATCAAACCCGGTTTTCCCAGATTAGAGTCCGCACTCCTAACCACTGCCCCAAATTGGCCGTATCATTGAGGAGAAATGTGGGGTATAAAGGAGGGAGATAAATAATTCACTATCACAATGTTTGCATAATCGTTTCCACCAATGTTCCCTCTAAGCTGTGGAGTCCTGTGAGCAAAAAATTCTACTTTGTGAGCTACTGGCATTAAAGTTCTGAGTGAGTGATTTAGCTACTGCATAAATTAGTTTGCCCTGGAGCCGTCCTTCCTGAGCAAAGACAAAAATGTGTGAGCCGGAGGCTAAAAAACGGAGCTAGCTCACACTAACTCAGCTTAGAGGGAACACTGGTTTTCACCATTTAGAGCTGTGGTTATTGCTGTGGATGAAGCAGAGGATGTTCAGTAAGCACCAGGGATTGTGGGCATTCACATGGTGGATGTGTACATTAGCTGGGAATTTGGTGCACAGTCTGGTTAATATGCATAGGCTCCAAGTGATATTGGAGAAAGTGCACCACTTAACAGTTAGTCCACACGGGCTGTTGGTATATGTAACAGAAGCAACACTGCTTCTGCAAGTGCCATGACATTTTGGGGTGGTGCCTGGGAAAGGTGGAGTTCAAAGAGGATGTGTTGCCACTCTAGGCTGCAGTCCCTAGTCTCTGTAGGCTTGACCACTACAATCTATGGGAAATTCCTAGAGTGTCACTATGTGGAGGTCATCCCCCCCCCCCCGTTCCTCAGGGCTAGGGAATTGGGGCTGGGGCTAGTAATTTTTTTATTTATTGAAACATTTATATCCTGGCTTTACTCTTTGTTCAAGGCGGCTTACAATAATAAAGCTTGTTGCATGTGCCCGCCCCCTGGGCTCCTTACTGCCGGCGCTCCGCTCCTGTGCGCTCCCGCAGGAAATGACCCCTGGTTTTATTGCTGGTCTGGACTCAAACCTTGTGCTGCTGCTTCAGACCAGCACGGCTACCCACCTGAATCTATCTGGTTTATCAGTGAGCCAGTGCCTTGACCTGGCTGCTATTTGGGTGGGACCCCTCTTCCTGACGTGGAGGCAGCCAACGGCAAACCACCTCTGAAAGTCTCTTGCCTTGAAAACCCCAGGGGGGGGGGGTCCTCCATAAATCAGCTGTGACTTGATGGATGGCAACAAAAAAAAAAAGTAAAAGCAGGCTAGTCCTAGAGTTCTATGGCTTTTGGTTAACAATGGCTTTTGGTTAATGGCTTCTGGCCAATGATTTTTGTTTTTTGGGTAATGATGGCTTTTGGTTAATGACTTTTGGTTGATGATTTTTTTAAAAAATTAGGAGAATAACACGTTTCTGTACTTCAGTCAGAGGTTGGGGGGTTGGGGAGGTTGCTGTCACCCGAGTTAGCAGTTCTGCCTCCCATTCTCCTGAATGCCTTGCTTCCAAGGCAGCAACTCCAAAATGGAATATAAATCAGTCTAAAAGAAAGCAAAATGTTACAAGAGAAAAATGCTTTAAAAAAAAAAAAGAGTGACGAGAGGCGGGCGAAACTGTTTAAAACGTGGGTTTTTTTAAATTTTTTTTACAGATTTTATATCCTATTCTTTTGACCTCTCAAGGGTCACCGAGGCAGCTAACCAATAAAAACAAACATAATGAAACATTTTAAAAACCATTAACTCCCCCCCCCAACACACAAGCACCATTAAAACTATTAAAACCAGAGCTAAAACCCATACAAAGATATGGGGACCTCACTATTGCCGGAGAGGTGTGGGGTTCTGAGGCTGGAATTGTTAAGCTCATGGTGCTCTTGTGGGTCTGGAAGTACTATAGTCGTCTTTGCTTATAGCCGTTTTGACTTCGTATCCTAACCAGCCTTGGTGAGCCCTCAGATTCAAGTGGTGGTATAAAAACCCCACATAGGTCGTGTGAATTGGCCACCTTGACCAGCGACGACTTTCCGTCCTGTCACGCTTGTTGTACTATTTGTGATGCACCCCTGGCGATAACGTCGAATAACACTGAGCGCTAAACTGCAAGCAGCCGTGACGGCTCAACTTGATCTAACGCACACATGCCGGCTCTTGCAGATGACCTGGAGGCAGAAGCCGAAATGGAGACGCAGCTGAATTGCTTCTACCTAAAAGCTCTCGACGGGTTTGTCATGGTGCTCTCCGAGGACGGCGACATGGTCTATATGTCTGAAAACGTGAACAAGTGTATGGGACTCACGCAGGTAGGGAAACGGGCTTCGCCCCTCCGCTTTTGTCGCCCGCTGTGATTGTAAGCACACCCCCCCCCCCAACTCAAAGCCCTGCGGACTTAAAAAATTGCTGAACTCGGATAGCGTCCAGCGTTTTATCTGCTGCCGGTGCCCCAGACTAAGCTTCTTTCTCCGTCTCTTACAGTTTGAGCTGACCGGACACAGTGTGTTTGATTTCACTCATCCATGCGACCATGAAGAGCTGAGAGAAATGCTCACCCACCGGAACGGTGAGAAAAAGAAGCGGGCTTTGCGTTTTCTTTTCGAAATTCCTTCAGACCAGATGGCTCCGCTTTAGTCCCTCCATTGCTACCACTAGAAGTTTAAATAAGCGTTTGATTTAACGGGATTCATGGGCGCCCTAATCAGGATCCCGAAATTTAGTTTACATTTAATTCACAGGGTGTAAGCTGCCTGGAGTCCCACAAGGTAGAAAGGCAGCTAACGAAATGCTTTAAAATAAATAATTCTGTGACAACCAAGTCTGCTTTTAGTGTTAATGTTCCGGAGTGATGGATGGCCCAGGCTACCCCAGAAGATAAGTAAGGTCGGCCCCTGTTTAGTATTTGGATGGGAGACCGCTGATGAACTGCAGGGTTTCTATACAGAGGCAGACCATGGCAAACCACCTCTGTTAGTCTCATGTCTTGAAAACCCCACGGGGTCACCATACCTCGGGTGCAACTTGATGACAGTTTACATGTGTGCACAACACAGCAGTGGAATCTCAGTTTGGACTCTTGCTAGCAGTGGAAGCGTAGTTCAGACTCTTGCTAGCAAAGAGGAACATAAGAACATATGAGAAGCCATGTTTAGATCTGGCTGATGGCCCATCCAGTCCAGCAGTGGCCAAAACCCCATGTGCCGTCAGGAGGTCCACCAGCAGAGCCAGAACTCCAGAAGCCCTCCTGCTGGTGCCCCCCCCCCGCGCACTAAGAATACAGAGCATCGCTGCCCCAGACAGAGCATTCATCTATACTTTGTGGCTAATAGCCACTGATGGACCTCTGCTCCAGATGTTCATCCAATCCCCTCTTGAAGCTGTCTATGTTTGTAGCTGCCACCACTTCCTGTGGCAGTGAATTCCACATGTTAATTTCTCTTTGGGGGAAGAAGTACTTTTCATTTGTTCTTGCTCACTAATTTCATGGAGCGTCCACGAGTTTTGGTATTGTGAGAAAGGGAGAAAAGTACTTCTTTAGAGGGCTTCTAATGTCCTGCCCCCACTGGTGGACCTCCTGATGGCACCTGGTATTTTTGGCCACTGTGTGACAGAGTGTTGGACTGGATGGGCCTTTGGCCTGATCCAACATTGGCTTCTCTTATGTACTTATTTATTTATTTTATTTCTCTACCTTCTCTATCCCATACATAATTTTGTTAGCCTCTATCATGTCACTCCTGAATCGTCATTTCTCCAAGCTAAAAAGCCCTACCCCTCTTTAAGCTTTCTTCATAGGGGAAGGTGTTCCATCCCCTTGATTATTTTAGTTGCCTTTTCTGCACCTTTTCCAAATACTACAGTATCTATTTTGAGGGGCAGTGACCAGAACTGTCCGCACTATTCCAAATGAGGCCGTTGCATAGTTTTATACAGGGGCGTTATGATACTGGCTGATTCGTTTTCAGTCCCCTTCCTAATCGCAGCATAGCATTTGCCTTTTTAATTGTAATTGTCGCACACTGAGTTGACCTCTTCAGCGAGTGAGGCCGGGTTCAGACTCTGGCTAGCAGTGGGGGCCCGGTTCGGACTCTCACTCAGCCCAAGAGCCTTTTCATGTGGTGGTGGGGGGCCTCAGGACCCCCTTCCTCAGTGTAAAGAAGGGGCACGATGTGTGACAGGTGCGCTAGTGTGCTCTGCCCCGAGTTAACAACACAGTTTCATCAGTCTCAAAAGATGGATCTGATTTCCAGATGTACTGGCATGCACCAGAAGTACGTTAGTGTATCTGGAATGTAAATCGGATCGGCTTTCTGTTGTGGAAATTCTGCAAGAGAGCATAATAGCGATCAGCGCAAGAATGGAGGTGCCTCTTACAGGGCAGCAGTCAAATTTATATGCTTCCTCTGGTTTGGTAGGACACAGTGTGCTGGTGGTGGTGGTGGGGTTCCTGTCAGTTTCCTGCAGTCCATTTGGCCTTCAGTCTCTAGGTGTGAAGACTCGCTCTAGCCGTGTTGACAGCTCTGCCTTTTCTTCTTGGTCATTATCTTTCCTTTTCACAGGCCAATTCGGGTGGGGAAAATTAACGTGAAAATATTTCCCAGAATGGTCTGTGCGCTGGCTGTCTTCTCAGCCCCCCGCTGTTGTGCGGCGTGTTAAAATAAAATGGCCGTTCACTCCCGTTTGTCTCAGGCCCCGTGAAAAAGGGAAAGGAGCAGAACACCGAGCGTAGCTTTTTCCTCCGCATGAAGTGTACGTTGACCAGCAGAGGACGGACAGTGAACATCAAGTCTGCCACATGGAAGGTAAATCGGACTTCTTGCTCTGACAGCAGCCGCTTTATATGTAGAAAGCTTTGGGGTCCAAACGCATTTGAAGGGTGGTGGCTCAGTGGGAGAGCCTCCGCTTGGCATGCAGAAGGTCCCAGGTACAAGCCCCAGCATCTGCAGTTAAAAGGACCAGGTAAGAGGTGACGTTGAAGACCTCTGCCTGAGACCTTGGATAGCTGCTGCCAGTCTGAGTAGACAATACTGGTTTTGATGGACAGGGCTCTTTTTGTAGCAGGAACTCCTTTGCATATTAGGCGACACACCCCTAATGTAGCCAATCCGCCAAGAGCTTACTGTAAGAAGAGCTCTGTAAGCCCTTGGAGGATTGGCTACATTAGGGGTGTGTCGCCTAATATGCAAAGGAGTTCCTGCTACAAAAAGAGCCCACCAAAGGTCTGATTCAGCCTAAGGCCGCTGCCTATGTTGTGTTGTGTACATGACTGCCTGTCAGCACTCAGCAGAAGTCTAATTGCTGGGAAGAGGTACCAGGAACTCCTTTGCATATTAGGCGACACACCCCTAATGTAGCCAATCCGCCAAGAGCCCCTGTAAGAAGAGCTCTGTAAGCTCTTGGAGGATTGGCTACATTAGGGGTGTGTCGCCTAATATGCATAGGAGTTCCTGCTACAAAAAGAGCCCACCAAAGGTCTGATTCAGCCTAAGGTCGCTGCCTATGTTGTGTTGTGTACGTGACTGCCTGTCAGCACTCAGCAGAAGTCTAATAGCTAGGAAGAGGTACCAATTTGTCCCCAGATACCTTTGGCACTCGTGCACAGTCGTCGAAGACTGCAAGGACCAGGCAGTAGGTGTTGTGGAAGACCTCCGCCTGAGACCCTGGAGAGCCGCTTCCCCTCTGAGTAGGCAAGACTGACCCTGATGGTTTAGGGGTCTGATTCAGTAGAAGGCAGCTTCGTGTGGGAGTGCAGTCGATCCCATACAAGCGAGCCTTTGAAGAGCATCAAAACAGTGGCAGAACAAAGTTTGCATTCAGTGGCAACCTTCAAGACCATCCGAGTTTTATTCTGGGTATAAGCTTTCATGTGCATGTGCAGTTTTTCAGATACATTGAAACAGAAGTCACCAACCTTTACATCTAGGGAGTGGGTGAGGAAGGGCCATGTATTTAGTGGTATGTATTCAACTAGAATCAGAGAATCACAGAGGGGGGGGAGTAGGAATAGTAGTAGTAGTAGTAGTAGTAGGGATTTCTACCCCACCCTTCACTACCCAAAGGTGTCTCACAGCGGCTTACAAACTCCTTTCCCTTCCCCTCCCCACAACAGACACCCTATGAGGTAGGTGGGGCTGAGAGAGCTCTGACAGAAACTGCTCTTTTTCAAGGACAGCTCTTATCAGAACTATGGCTTGCCCATGGTCATCCAGCCAGGTGCAAGTGGAGGAGTGGGGAATCAAACCTGGTTCTCCCACATTAGAGTCCACGCACTTAACCACCACACCAAACTGGCCATACAGGCCATCTAGTCCAATCTGCTGCTCAATGCAGGATCAGCCAAGAGCATTCCTGACAAGGGTTTGCCCAGCCGCTGCTTAAAGACTGCCAGGGAGGGGGAGCTCACCACTTCCCTAGGCAGCTGATTCCACTGTTGTGCAACTCTGACTATAAAAAAGTTTTTCGTAAGATCCAGCTGGTACCTTCCTGCCCTTAGTTTAAACCCATTCTTGTGAGTCCTCTCCTCTGCTGCCCACAGGAACAGCTCCCCGCCCTCCTGTAAGTGACAGCCCTTCAAATCCTTCAAGAGAGCCATCCTGTCCCCTCAGCCTCTTCTCCAGACTGAACCCTCCCAGGTCCCTCAGCCTTTCCTCGCAGGGCTTGGTCTCCAGGCCCCCGATCATCCTCACCACTCTCCTCTGCCACCCGCTCCATTCTGTCCACATCCTTTTTGAAGCGAGGCCTCCAGAACTGCACGCAATACCATGTTGCTTCTCCAGCAGAAGAGTGTTTGTTTGTGGAAGAGGACGCAGGAGTTTCTGCCAGTTCCTCTCTGCCGACCCCCAGCTTTGCCCCCATACCATCCCAGGAGGTCTGGACTCCCCAGGACCAACTGTTTGGTGGGCTGACCTGAACCTCTTCTGCCAATGGCCCCTGCCAAATAGGGAATCTCATGGGAAGGGCTACAGCCAACAACCTCCATTCCCAGGAACAGTTGTCTCTTTAGATCTGCTCTGCTCAGGTTAGCACCAATGGAAGAAAGGCGTGTGTGGGGCCCCCACTAGAGAAGACAGTCAGTCCTTTTTCACGTTTGCGTTTGAGAGGACGTGCCGGCACATCTCAGCGGTTGTAGTTGCTTGCTTTTCTGCACGAGCCATGAATTCCTTGGTGCAATCCCTGGTCAGTTTTAAATTTGCAAGCATTGCCCTTAGATGACAAACTTCCCCATCTGGCACTATACACAGCTGTAGCAGTGCCTGTCCTTACGTCTCTGCCAGTGGCGCTAGGGGGTGGGTGGTATTTACTTTATTTATATCCTGCCTCTCTCCCCGAGCCGCGGTGGCTCAAGTTTCGAGACCTGAGTGTGCCGCATGACGGAGTGAGCTCCCGTCTCTGGCCCCAGCTCCTGCCAAACGAGCAGTTCGAAAGCAAGAAATTGCAAGTAGATAAATAGGTACCACTTTGGTGGGAAGGGAACAGCGCTCCGTGCACCTTGGCGTCTAGTCATGCCGGCCACATGACCACGGAAACGTCTTTGGACAGCGCTGGCTCTTTGACTTGGAAACGGAGATGAGCACCACCCCCTAGAGTCAGATTTGCCTGGCTTTTGAGCAAGGGAAACCTTTACCTTTCTCCCCGAACTGGACCCAAAGCAGCTTACATCCTTCTCCTCTCCTCCACGTTATCCTCACAAGCAACCCTGTGAGGGCAGTCAGGCTGAGAGTGCGTGTCTGGCCAGAGGTCACCCAGCAAGCTTCCATGGCAGAGTGAGGATTCGAACCTGGGTCCTCCCAGATCCTAGTCCAATATTTTAACCACTACACCATGCTGGCTTTAGAAGGTTGCATGCCAAGTCCATGCACACGGGGTTCCAAGATTATTTTTCTCTTTGGCCTCTGGGGCTGTGGAGCAGGCACGGAGTTTATGAGCAGGAGCACAAGCCGGGCACGTGTCCCAGCCGGGCCCTGGGCCCTCTCCCTTCCCAGAATTCATGAGCTGCTACTTAAAGTGACACTTAGAATCAGTGTTCCCTCTAAGCTGAGTTAGTGTGAGCTAGCGCACAGTTATTTAGCCTCCGGCTCACACATTTTTGTCTCCGCTCAGGAAGGATGGCTCCAGAGCAAACTGATTTATGCAGCAGCCAAATCGCTGGCTCACCAAGTAGAATTTCTGCTCACGAGACTCCACAGTTTAGAGGGAGCATTGCTTAGAATACCCATGCTGCAGGCTGGCCATCCCTGGTTTATGTATGTGTGCATTCTTTCATTCTTATGTACAGCAGAACTTCATCTGCACCTATTAACAAATGCTTCTCCCCCCCCCCTTTTCCCTCCGCCCAGGTACTTCATTGCACAGGGCACATCCGCATCTACGACAGCTGCAGCAGCCAGACCGTCTGTGGGTACCAAGAACCTCCCATGACATGCTTGGTGTTGATCTGCGAACCTATCCCTCACCCGTCGAACATCGAAGTCCCCCTGGACAGCAAGACATTCCTCAGCCGCCACAGCCTCGACATGAAGTTTTCGTACTGCGACGAAAGGTAAGGATCGAGCTGTTCCTTGCCTTTTGCGGTTCCGCTTCCCGGACCTCTTCTCTGCTAGTCTAAAAATCAAGCTGCTAATCTGGCTTTGTGTAGGTTTTTGAGAGTCATGAGTCTGGAAGCTGCAAATTGGTGATGCAAGATGCTTTCCGCATGAATAAAGGGACGGAAAATTCATTTTTTGGAATCCTGTTTACTCTTGTCATGTGCTTGTAGCCATAATGGAGCTAAACATTATTACATTGCATCCGGTGGCATGTTTTGTACTGGGGCTGAAATAGATTACAAGACGAGCCAAGAGCCCATGTTGCTTTTTGGCTGGGAAAGCATCTGTAGTTTGTGTTCTGTGCAACACTGCCATCAAGTGGTCGAAAGAATTAAGGCTTCTCTCTCGGGCTCAACTTAGGTCGAAACTGGTTTACACTGAATTCTAAATTCCGGCGGGTAGCTGCATTGGTCGGAAGCAATGGAACAAAGTTTGAGTTCAATGAATTCTAAAGGCACTATGTATTTCTGATTTAAAACTCTTCTACCCCACCTTTCCAGGCATTGGCAGCAGCTTCCTCTTAAAAATATGAAATTGTGTAACTACTGGTTATCCTGAAAACCCCTGATTTAAAATCAGCTCACCGGTGTGACCTTGGGTCAGTCACAAGTTATCTCAGAGCTGTTCTCTCAGGAGCAGTCCTCGAAAGAGCTCTCTCAGCCCCCACCTACCTCACTGGGGTGTCTGTTGTGGGGAGGGGAAAGGAAAGGAGATTGTAAGCCACTCTGAGACTCCTTCGGGTAGTGAAGTCTGGGGTATAAATCCTTCCTCTTTCTCCTCCTCCTTCCTCCTTCAAAATAAAATGGAGAGGGTGTACAGCCCATGTGTACAGCCCTGACCTCCTTGGAAGTACGGTATGAGAATAATGCGCTAAAAATAAGTCACTAGTGTTGTACATATTAGATTCTATGTCAAAAATGAAGTCAAATGAGGAGGAAGTTCTTGTATTTTATTAAAATGAAATATGGAAAACAGTTAGGCCAAAGGACCCATCAAAACTGACTGCTTTCTTCTCAGCATATTCAGGAAAAATGCCTCAATTAATAGGAAAACAATTAGACCAAATAGTTAACCAAAAATTGACAACTTTCTTCTTCTTCATCTTCTTCTTGAGCATATTCTGAACATATTCAGGAAATACATGATATTTTATACATGGACTGACATCATCAAGAAAACAATATTCAAACAGCATAATTGTTTACAAAAGACAGTGGTAATTTGAGTAATAATCCTCTGATTGGCCAGATATAAAGAAACATATACCTACTTCAAACTAAGTGTTTACTTAACCTAACCTAAATGATAATGGGCAAGGATTCTTCATAAGAACATAAGAGATGCCAATGTTGGATCAGGCCAAAGGCCCATCCAGTCCAACACTCTGTATCACACAGTGGCCAGAAATACCAGTGCCATCAGGAGGTCCACCAGTGGGGACCAAAATCTTATCTGACCCAGACATTGAAAGGTTTGCCCTAAGAACTACAGAATCATGAACTTTGTACCGATTATGTTGTCTGCTAACAATATCAGACCTACAAGAGGAAAGCCTTCTATATAACAGGCCTTTCTAACATCCTAATAAAATATTACTTAAAGAACAAATCTATAAAAACCAGAGAAATATGAATATGAACAACCAAGAAGGAAAAAACCTATATATGAAAATCTTTGTACTCCCATTCATACTACACTAGGTAACAGAAAATGCTGTACATTAATAACTACTTTCTGCTTTCAAATCAAGGATTACAGAGCTGATGGGCTACGATCCCGAAGAGCTCCTGGGCCGCTCCGTCTACGAATACTACCACGCCCTGGACTCCGACCATTTGACCAAAACGCATCATGACAGTGAGTTTTTTTTTTTTTTAAAGCAGGTCTTGTTGCATGACACTGTGGGGGTTTCACCAGTGTGCTCTGCACCGCTTGCATCTGTGTTACTACCTGGCTAGTGCTAGCACCGTGTGCTTTACTGCACATGTTTTCATTGTGGAATGTTTCCTGGCCATGTCTAGCTGCATCAGTAATGCTAGTCTATTTCTGCTTCTAGTGTTCGCCAAAGGGCAAGTGACCACCGGGCAGTACAGAATGCTCGCTAAGGAAGGGGGCTACGTCTGGGTGGAGACGCAGGCGACGGTTATATACAACACTAAGAATTCCCAGCCGCAGTGTATCGTGTGCGTGAACTACGTCTTGAGGTGAGCTTTGCCGCCATTCAGGAAGTTCTGCGTTTACTCCGGCTCCAAAGACCATCTGAAAAGCTCTGATGACACCGGTATATAGAAATAGTCATCTTGGAATAGCTGGTGTATCCCTTTCTAATGCAGCAGGTTGTTGTGTTTGGCAGCAAAATCCTCTCTTTGTTAAGAACCTAAGAAGAGCCCCGCTGGATCAGACCAGTGGTCCATCTATTTCAGCATCCTCTCTCACACAGTGGCCAAACAGTTCCTCTGGAGGGCCAACAACAGGGCATGGAAGTCGAGGCTTTCTCCTGATGTTGCCTCCTGGCACTGGGGATTCAGAGGTTGACTGCCTCTGAATGTGTAGGTTCTCTTTACTCACTATGGCTAGTAGCCACTGATATGTCCTCCATGAATCTGCCTAATCTCTTTTTAAATCTCTCTATGCATGTGGCTCAAGTGGTTAAGACGCTGAACTGCAGGCTGTGGAAGGTCGGTAGTTCAGCAGTTCGAGACCCGGGTGCCGCATGACGGAGTGAGCTCCCGTCTCTAGTTCCAGCTCCTGCCAACCTAGCAATTCGAAAGCAAGAAATTGCAAGGAGATAAATAGGTACCACTTTAGTGGGAAGGTAACAGCGTTCCGTGCGCCTTGGTGTTTAGTCATGCCAGCCACCTGACCACGGAAACATCTTCGGACAGCGCTGGCTCTTCGGCTTTGAAACAGAGATGAGCACCACAACCCTAGAGTCAAATTCCGACTGGCTTTTGAGCAAGGGAACCTTTACTTTTTATGCATGTGGCCATCACTTCATACTCTGGCAGCAAATTCTACCTTTGAATCCCTTGCTGTGTAAAGAAGCATTTCTTTTTGTCTGTCCTGAATCTGCTGCCCATCCCGGTCAATCCTGGCAACTGGCAGCACATGGGACGGGAGACAGACTGGGAGCAGCAGGGAGGCCCATCGGACATACAGCGACGTGTCTGTGTCACCGCCCACGTGACCCAGAAGTGATGTCATCTTGTCAGGGATGTCGGGGCAAGGCTCTGGTGTTCGGGCAAAAATTCTATGGTAAGTTTGTCTTCCACCATAAAGTTTTTGCCAAAATATCAGAGTGTTGCCCCGACATCCCAGATGTAATGACATCACTTCCAGGTCGCACGGGCAGCGATGTAGACAAGTCACTGCACGTCAGATGGTTCTCCCTCTTTTTGGGGGGTACGGTCACCCCCAACGGCCAGCTGATCAGCAGTGGGGAGGTGGGCCCTGGCAGTGGGGGACCCCCCGCTTCCACCAGGGGGGGTCTCGCAACCCTAACCCATCAGCTTCATTGGTTGTTTCAAGGGGAATGATGAAAACTACTGCTTGAATGCCTGTAACTGGGTACATCTGGACACTCCCAGTTTATATCCTCAGAAAGGTCCAGAAATGGAGATTGCTAGCAGGACTCGACTAGAACATCAAGGGTTGAGTCTGGAAGCACCTTAAAGACCAAGATTATCAGAGCATAAGCTTTGGAGAGTCAAAGGTTCCCTTTGTCAGACTCCTGAAAACTTGGTGGTGGTGCAAAGTGCCACCAAGTTGCAGCCGACTTATGGTGACCCTGTAAGGTTTCCAAGGCAAGAGACGTTCAGAGGTGCTTTGCTATCGCCTGCCTCTGCATAGCAGCCCTGGATTTCTGTGGCGGTCGGTCTCCTATCCAAGTACTCACCAGGGCTGACCCTGCTTAGCTTACCAGATCGGGCTAGCCTGGACCATAAAGCCAGGGTATAAATGTCCAGAATAAAATGAATCGATAACACTGGGCGATGTTAGATTAAGCTGGGTAGCTGCGTTGGCCTGAAGCAACAGCACAAAGTTTAAGTCCAGTGGCACCTTTAAGACCGACAATAAAACTTGGTTGGCCTTAAAGGCGCCACTGGACTCAAACTTCGAACTGGGCGAAGTTCAGTAGGAAAGTGGGTGGCATCCAATCCACTCCGTGTAAAGTCCTCAGACACCTTGTGCAGCTGTCACAGATCCCTAGAGACGGCCCATACCCCCCATTCACCCTTTCGTCTTGGTGTGAGGCAAATTATTTGTGTTCTAGAAGCTCCAGTTACTCTTGCCGTGCAGAGAGGGAAGGTTGGATGTGAGGATTCTGGGCGCAGGCACAGGCATAGCCAGCTTTGTAATGTTTTAGAGTGATCTTTCCTTGAATATGGTGATCGGTAGTGTGACGACCCCTTATCTGGGGAGGCCTGGTTTCACTTTAAAGTGTTCTTTTTATTTTGTTCAACCGGGTAGGTTAGGCTGCCACCAGGAAATTTTAGGCTTTCCAAAACTTTATACTTTCTTTTGGCTATCACTGGATAGGTAGGTCAAGTTTTTAAGTCTCACAAGGGTCTATGTGTTTCCTGAGAAATTATTTCTTTCAGAGCTGGCAGACTTAAATAAAAGAAGATTTATTGAAACAGTTCATAAATAAAAGTGTAGAACAATGTAACCAGTAATGTGAATAATTTTAACAATTTCGTTGTGTCTCACACAAGATCTGCTCCCTTTCTGACAGGGATTTTTCAAGTAACTTTATAACTCATTACTCAGGGTCATATACATTTCCTATTTCACTCCAGTCTGTCACTCAGACTTTCATTTAACTTTTGTTTCCTTATACATTAAACTTTTCTTCATACACAGAACTTAACTCTTGTATCACACACAAGACCTCAGAACGAACTAACTTATCAACTGTCTTTATCAACTGTCAAACCTCTAACTGTCACTCCTGAAGGACATACCCATTCATCCACTCAGAACCCCTTTCTAAAACCCCTCCCCCTCTCTTTCAATCACCAATCACACCACACTGGTCTCTTCAAGCACTCTAGTCCATCACACAGCCATGCAACCAAACTTTTAAAGAGACACACACACATATAAAACAAGGAATCATTACAGGTAGTCTCACTTAAGAACCTTTTATCAACATTGACTGACTCTTGATAATATAAAACTGACGTAAAACTGATGTCGGCGGCGTAAATGAGCAAACACAAATTTACGATACAAATTCATCTCCGAAGAAGGCATCCGAAACGAGGTTTTATCCGGAATCTTCATAAAAATATCATTTCATATCATATTGTACTCTACATATTGTACACTGTTTGGAAATAGCGTTTGATAGTCTGATCTGTAAAAGAGAATTCTTTATTAATATGTTAGGAAATGAATCTATAATATGATATTTTAAGAAGCACCTAGGGTCTTTTTTCCCATGGTTCTTTTGCAGTTTTTATTATTTTTGAACCGTGAATCTTCTTTTTGCTCTATTCAGGCTTTCCATTTGCCATATGTTCCCCCCCGCCCCAGTGTGTATTTTTGCCCATGCACACCTGTAACGACTCCGGGGCTGGGGTTGGAGGATGGCTCTTCTCTGCCCCACTGGAAATCCTCTGTGTGTGAGACTACACACCTTTAGCATCTGTTATTCATCACATTTTAGAATTCTGGAAGAATAATCCCATGGAAATAAACAGAGAAACCACAAAGGTTGATAATGGTCAACTAACTTCCTCAACTGTTGCCCCATCGCTGCTAGTCTTCCGTGGCAGTTCCACTCGGTCCTGGAGACATTGGTTGTGTTCTACTGTAACAGGTTCTTCTCCAGAGGGTAGTCAAGTTGATCTGCATTAGAAGAGCTAGATTGGGGCCCAGTTGCACCTTGAAGGCCAACAAGAGTTTCAGGGTGTAAGCTTTCGAGAGTCAGAGCTCACTTCGTCAGATACAAGGAAGCGTTGACTCTCGAGAGCTTATACCTCAAAAACCTTGTTGGTCTTTAAGGTACTACTGGACTTGAATCTAGGTTCTAGTCCAGCAGCACCTTCAATACCAGCAAGATTTCCAGGGTAATAGCTTTCCATAGTCAAAGCTCCCTTTTCCAGATACGACAAAGAGACCTTTGACTCCTGCAAGCTTACACCCCAGGAATCTCATTTTGTCTTTAAGGTGCGACTGGGCTCAGATCTTGCTCTTCTACATGGACACCCACCAGAAACTGTAACTGGTTCTGTTCACACAAAGAAGTTGCGTGAAGCTCGAGAGACTTGAGTTTTCAGTCCAGATCTTCCTGGCAGATGCTTTGGTGTGATCTGCAGAAAGTACCCATAACAGGAGAGATTTTTGAGAGCAATGTACTCTAATAAAATAGCCAATTCCGGCTTTTCAGCCACTCTCTAACGATTTCCTTTCTGTCTTCCCGCAGTGGCATCGTCGAGAAGGACTTGATATTCTCGCTCCAGCAAACGGAGTGTATGTTGAAACCGGTGGATTCTCCGGAGCTGAAGGAGACCAAACTGCTGGGCAAGGATACCCTGGAAGACAGCAACAGCCTCTTTGAGAAACTGAAGAAGGAGCCAGACGCATTAACCTTGCTTGCTCCTGCCGCGGGGGACACCATTATTGCGCTAGATTTCGGCACTGACGGTGGGTGTGCGTTTGGTTCAAGGGACCCGCCTGTAAAGTCCGCTAAAAGTCAAGTAATGTTCTTTGGAGGGCTGTGTGGTGGCTCAGTGGTTAAGACACTGGACTGCAGTGGTGAAGATGCTGAACTGCAGACCCGTCTCCTGCCAACCTAGCTGTTCGAAAGCAAGACATTGCAAGTAGATAAATAGGTACCGCTTCGGTGGGAGGGTAACAGCATTCCGTGCGCCTTGGCATTTAGTCATGCCTGCCGCGTGACCATGGAGAAGTCTGAGGACAGCGCTGGCTCTTCAGCTTGGAAACGGAGACGAGCACCGCAACCCTAGAGTCGGATTCCACTAGCTTTTGAGGAAGGGAAGCCTTTACCTTTACCTTTAATGTTCTTTGGGCATTGCAGATTAATTGCACCTGTTGTGGTTGGTTTTTTGTTTTTTAAATGAGGGCCTTGCCACCCAGTGCGACACTCCTTAATTAAGCCAATGGTTCTCTTTTAATTTCTGTAGACTCTGATGAGCAGCCGCCTGACGATGTTCCTTTGTATAATGATGTAATGCTCCCCTCATCCAGTGAGAAATTGCAGTGCATACATTTGGCCATGTCCCCCCCGCCCGCTTCAGACACCACCAAGCCGCTGCGGAGCAATGTGGATCCGGCGCTCAATCGGGAGGTGGTGTCCAAGCTGGAGCCTAGCGTGGAGCCCCTGGATCTGACCTTCTCAGCCTGCCGGAAGCAAGAGCAGCCGGCCACCCCTTCCGACGGCAGCACCAGCCAAAGCTCGCCTGAGGTTAGTCGCTGGAGAATCGGCGCCGGATCCCGCACTCTCTGCTGGAACCGGTTGCTTGTCCTGTAAATAAAAAGATTTTATTTTTTTCCACTGTTCAGTTTTTACTAGCTTTGTATCCTGCCCTTGTTCCTAGGAGTGTCATAGAGGTGGGGAAGAGGGAAGGGTCCCATTTACCCCCCCTCCCCCACAACAGCCTCGTGGAGCTGGAGACCCTCCACGTTCAAAGGTAGACAGCCTCTGAATCCCCGAGCCAGGAGGCAACAGCAGGGGAAGCCTCAGCCTCTACGCCCTGTTGTTGGCCCTCTAGAGGAGCCGGTTGGCCACTGCTTGAGACAGGATGCTGGACTAGGTGAACCACTGGTCTGATCCAGCAGGGCTCTTCCTATGTTCTAATGAAGGCCACGGCCTCTCTGCCCTGTCGTTGGCCCTCCGGAGGAACTGATCAGCCACTGTGTGAGACAGGATGCTGGTCTAGATGGACCCGGCCACTGGTCTGATCCAGCAGGGCTCTTCTTACATTCCAATGGCCACTGTGTGAGACGGGATGCTGGACTAGATGGACCACTGGTCTGATCCAGCAGGGCTCTTCTTGTGTTCTAATGAAGGCCTCGGCCTCTCTGCCCTGTTGTCGGCCACTGTGTGAGACAGGATGCTGGTCTAGATGGACCCTCACTGGTCTGATCCAGCAGGGCTCTTCTTACGTTCCAATGGCCACTGTGTGAGACGGGATGCTGGACTAGATAGACCACTGATCTGATCCAGCAGGGCTCTTCTTACGTTCTTATGTCTGACTGTGAAGATAGTCACTGGCCAAAGGTGGCACCATGTGTTGAGCAGGGATTCAGAAAAGTCTCTCTGTTCTTGGGGTAACGGTGTGGCTGTGCCACGCTGCCTCCCAGTCAAAAGTCAGCTGGGCGTTCCTCTTTGTAAAGGGTGACGTTGCAAAGTGCCGTCAAGCCACAGCTGAGTCACGGTGACCCCGTATGGTTTCCCAGGCGAGAGATGAACATAGGCGGTTTGCCATTGCCTGCCTCTGTGTAGGAACCCTGGACTTCCTTGGAGGTCTCTCGTCCAGGTGCTCCCCAGGGCCAACCTTGCTCAACTTCCAAGATCTGAGAAGTTCAGGCTAGCCTGGGCCATCCACGACAAGGTAGAGGAGCTTTTATTTTGGGTCAACATAGCGGCCCAAAACTGATACTCCCCCCCCCCCCGACACATCTGTGTTGGATGCTAGTATGGCAGAAAACAACATGACAATTTGATGTTGTATAGAATTTTGCCAACTGCATGCCTTGCTGTGAAGGTTGCAGGGGTTCAAAGAACGACACACGACACAGGTCTGCAGAAAGCTGTCTGAAATTTCTCACTCCGCAGCGTTTATTATAAGCTCTTAGTTTTCCCCCATTTCCCCCCCCCTCCTCCCCCTTTCAAGCAGACAGTGCACTCTCTTATCTTCCCCTGCTATGAAGTCAGCAGATGTTACCTTGTGCAGTTAGCACTCACACACTCTAGTTCCCAATCTCCAGGCAGGAGAAGTGAATCTCCAGGTTTGCCACGCAGAGAACACTGTTCCTACATTGCTGTACTGATACACCGAGCCAGATTGAAGGGACAGCGACATACTTTCAGGGTCCTGAAAGCAAGATTTGAGTCCAGCAGCACCAGTTCGGTGTGGTGGTTAGGAGTGCGGACTCCGATCTGGGAGAACCGGGGTTGGTCTCCCCACTCCTCCACATGCAGGGAACTGGGTGACCTTGGGTCAGTCACAGTTCTCTCAGAACTGTTCTCTCATCAGCAGCTCTCTCAGAGCTCTCTCAGCCCCACCTGCCTCAGGAGGTGTCTCTTGTGGGGAGAGGAAGGGAAGGAGATTGTAAGCCGCTCTGAGGCTCCTAGTGAAGGGCAGGGTATAAATCCAACCTCTTCTTCTTCAAGACAGAACAGATTTAGTCTTTAAGGTGCTGCAAGTTTACTCTTCCGCTTCGGGCCAACATGGCTACCCCCCCACCCCCCACCCCGAAACAAAAAGATTTGCAACATGCCTGGGGGGGGGTGCTTTGTACCCTAGTAGCACTTCCCTCATCAAAGTGCAAAGCCTTTGTCCAGCCCAAGGTCCTTCCAAAGAGAAGAGGCCCTTCCGCCAGCAGAAGAGCCTCTCCCCACTAGCAGAAGGCTCCGGAGGCGGGTCGAATGCTTCATAATTTGCTGAAAAGAGCAGTAGGATGCAAGTGGGTACGTCTTCCAGATCTGGGAGTTAAATTAAACGTGTGAACTTAGTACTACTCCCTGGCCTCATCCTGACTGTAGGAAGCTCCAAAATCTGTGAGCCGGGGGCACGGGGGAGAGGGAATTCACGGCTGAAGAGAGTGAACGTAAACCATTCCTGTTGTGTAAAATTCAGATTGGTGATTTTTTTTGGGGGGGGGGTGAGGAGAATGTCACACGGCACTGAAAAGGGATGGCGGGATTGTATTCACAGCCCAGCAGCCCCGGCGACTACTGCTTCGACGTGGACAACGAAATGGCCAGTGAGTTCAAGCTGGAGCTGGTGGAGAAACTCTTCGCCATCGACCCAGACCTGAAGAACCCGTTCTCCATGCAGGTGGGCACAGGAGTGAAAGGTGGTCTGTTTCTAGGCCTGTCTCGGTGTGCCGTTGCAAGTGGTTCCCGATTGGCTGAGAGATCCTGGAGGTGTTTTTTTTTTACCTCTTTTGAGCACAGAGCGGGGTCTACTGGGAGACTAGGGGCGGAGGAGGTACGGGTGACGTCCCCGCACTGTACAGGGGGTAGGACTAGACGACATTTGGTGTCTCTTCCAGCTCTGTGTTTCCAAGAGGACCTCCACAAACTGGGTGAGTGAGTGAGCGACAGTGTGGCAAATGACGTTCAGTGTCGGTAAGTGTAAGTTGGTGTGCAACGGGGCAAAGAAAACCCCACTTCAAGTCTAGGCTAACGTGGTCTGAACTTTTTTTTTTTTTTTTGGTAAACAAATTTTTTTATTTTCTCAGGAATACAACATATAAAACATTTCATTCTATCAATTGTCTACCCCATTCCCAGTTCCTCCCCTCCCTCCAATGGCTTCCCACAATGCTTCCACCCCTGCTCCAAATTACTTCATATCATCAACAATATCAGTTTTTCGTCATTACAATCTAAAGATAACATCTTTTGACTTAATATTGATCTAAACATATTAAGTTTTGTTTCACATCCCAGTTCTTTTCCAGATAAATTTTAAAATCATTCCATTCTCCAAAAAACTCATCGTCTTCTTTGTTATTCAGTTTTTTTGTAATCTTATCCATTTGTGCCATGAACAGAACTTTTTGTATCCATTCTTCAACCTCTGGTACCTTTTCTGTCTTCCAAAACTGAGCATAAATCATTCTCGCTGTCACTATCAGGTACCAGAGTAAAGTCTTTTTAGTCGTATTGACTTCTTCCATTTTAAGTCCCAAAAGCAGAATTTCCGGTGCTTTTTTAAAAGAACATTTCAGTATTTTTTGCATTTCATTGTGGACTTTTGTCCAAAAGTCTACAGCTTTCTCACAAGTCCACCACATATGATAAAATGAGCCCTCATGCCTCTTACATTTCCAACATTTGTTTGACATATTTTGATTCATATTTGCAATCTTCTTAGGTGTCATGTACCACCTATACATCATCTTATAACAATTTTCTTTAACATTAGTACATGTCGAGATCTTAATAGAATTTTTCCACAAATATTCCCAGGTTTCCATAGCCACTTCCTTATTCATATTAATAGCCCATTTTAACATTTGTTCTTTAACAGTTTCATCTTCAGTATACCATTTTAACAACACCTTATACATTTTAGAAATATTTTTTCCTCCTCCACTCTCCCATACCTTTTCAATTTCATTTTTTTCCTCTCTAAAACCATAGTTTTTTTTGTCAGATCTAAAAAGATCATAAATCTGCATATATTTCAACCACTCATATTCATATTCAATTTCATTCTGCTTTTTCATTACCCACTCTGTTCCCTCTTTTTTAATTAAATCTCTATATGGCAACCAGTCTCTACCTCGCTGTCTTGAGTAAGATATCAACACTTCTACTGGTACAATCCACAATGGTCTTAAGTCACTCTGGTACTTCTTATATCTTGTCCATACCATATACAAAGCTTTTCTCACCAAGTGAAGTTTAAAAAAACTGTCCATTTTTATCTTGTCATACCATAAATATGCATGCCAGCCAAATCTACAATCATGCCCTTCCAACCCCAACAATCTGTCATTTTCAAGCTTCACCCATTGATCCATCCATGTTAGACAAACCGCTTCATAATATAGTCTAAGATTTGGCATTTGTAGACCTCCTCTTTCTTTGGCATCACAAAGTATTTTCATTTTGATCCTTGGTTTCTTGCCTGCCCAAACAAATTTTGACAACTCTTGTTGCCACTTGGCCAACAAATCCGTTTTATGCAGAATTGGTATTGTTTGGAACAGGAACATCAAACGTGGTAGGACATTCATTTTTATAACTGATATTCTTCCCATCAGTGATAAGTTCATTTTATCCCATTTCTTAAAATCTTGAGTCAGCTTAGTCCATAATTTCTCATAATTATTCTTATATAGGTCTATATTTTTTGCCGTTAATTCAATTCCAAGGTATTTTGTTTTTTTAACTACTTCACATTGTACCAGTTCTTGTAGTTCCACTTGTTTTTGTTTGATCATGTTTTTACATATAAGTTTTGTTTTATTCTTATTTACGTAAAAGCCGGCCAATTCTCCAAACTCCTTTATTTTTTGAAAAAGCAATGTCAATTTTTCTGTTGGGTTTTCCACCATAAACATTACATCGTCTGCAAATGCTCGATATTTGTATTGGTGTCCTTTATGTGTCAAGCCCTTTATTTCTTGATCGTACTGTATTTTTTGTAAAAGTATTTCCAATACCCAGATAAATAATAACGGTGATAACGGACAACCTTGCCTTGTTCCTTTCTGTACTTTGAAGTTATCTGTCAGTTCTTTATTCACATTTATTTTAGCTCTTTGTTCAGAATAGATAGCTTCAATACAATTTCTAAAATGTTGTCCCGCTTCAATCTTTTCCATCATCTGGTGCATAAAATTCCAATTAAGATTGTCAAAAGCTTTTTCTGCATCAACAAACAGAAAAGCTACTTCTTTTTCTGGGTGCTTTTCATAATATTCAATTGCGTCCATTACTATTCTTACATTGTCTCTAATCTGCCTTTTGGGTAAAAAGCCCGCTTGATCTTCAGAAATTACCGTTTGTAAATAGTTTTTCACCCTTTCTGCAATAATTTTTGCAAAGATTTTATAATCGTTGTTCAAAAGAGATATTGGCCTGTAGTTCTTTACATTTGTTGAATCTTGTCCTTCCTTTGGAATCAAAGAAATAATTGCGTGGTCTGAACTTGCTGAGACAGAGAGGGGAAGGGATCTCGGGTTCCTAGTGGACGGCTCGATGGAAGTGTCACCCCAGGGTGCGGCAGCGGTCAAAAAGGCAAACTCCATGCTAGGGGTTATCAGGCAAGGGATTGGGAATAAAACGGCCAATACTGTAGTGCTCCCGTATAGATCTGTGGTGCGGCCTCATTTGGAATCATGTGTACAGTTCTGGTCACTGTATCTCCAAAAGGACATTGCAGAGCTGGGGAAAGTACAGAGGACCAAGGCATTTAGGGGATTGGAGCCCCTTCCCTATAAGGAAAGGCTGAAGAGCCTGGGACTTTGGTTCAGGACAGACAGAAGGGAATACTACTTTACACAGAGAGTGATTAAAATGTGGCATTCGTTGCCAGAGGATGTCCTGATGGCCACAGGAAGAAACAGCTTGAAAAGGGGATTAGATTCGTGAAGGATAAGTCCATCAATGGCTACTATCCCTGGTGACTGAGCGGAACCTCCACGTTCAGAAGCACTAATCCTCTGAATGCCAGAGCCAGGAGGCAACATCAGAGGAAGGCCTCAGGCTTCTGTGCCCTGCTGTTGGCCCTCCAGAGGAACTGGTTGGCCACTGTATGAGACAGGAGGCTGGACTGGATGGACCACTGGTCTGATCCATGAGGGCTCTTCTTAGTATGTTCTAATGAAGGCCTCGGCCTCTGTGCCTTGTTGTTGGCCCTCCAGAAGACTTGACTGGCCCCTGTGTGAGACAGAATGCTGGACTAGATGGACCACTGGTCTGATCTAGCAGGGCTCTTATGTTCTTATGTTTATGAACTACCACTTGTATTTACTGTTACTGTGAAGACAGGTATTCAGGGGCATAAGTCTTTCAATATCAAGCTATACCAGTCTTTCAGTTCTGCTTAAGACTGGTTGGGGTGAGGGTAACAAGTGTCACAGCTGCACTCTGGTGGTGGCAGTTACCACACCGTCCGCGTGCACATTGAAACTTTTCTTTTTCTATCACAGAATGCCCTACTGCTCCTATGAATTAATCCCATGTTGTTATTGTTGTTTTAAAAAAAGTTTAGGGATTTGATTTGAAGTGACTAAATTTAACCCCTTGGCTTCATAGAGCCCTCAGTGTGTAGCAACGAGTTATGTAAAACACCGATACAAACCTTTTTTGGCATTTGGCTGTGTTGCTTTGGTAAGTAGCAGTTCATATACCCAAGCCCTGTGCCGTTAATGCTGCTCACCTTCTCCACTCCTTTCCGTGAGGCTTCCTGCATAAATGTCTTAGAAACGATAGTAAGTTTGTAGTTACAGGGCAAATATAAGTTACATAAGGAGAGCCCTGCTGGATCAGACCAGTGGTCCATCTAGTCCACCATCCTGTCTCACACAGTGGCCAACCAGTGGCTCTGGAGGACCAACAACAAGGTATGGAGGCCAAGTCCTTCATTACAACATAAGAAGAGCCCTGCTGGATCAGACCAGTGGTCCATCTAGTCCAGCATCTTATTTCACACAGTGGCCAACCAGTTCCCCTGGAGGGCCAGCAACAGGGCATAGGCCTTCATTGGAACATAAGAAGAGCCACACTGGATCAGACCAGTAGTCCATCTGGTCCAGCATCCTGTCTCACACAGTGGCCAATCAGTCCCTCTGAAGGCTGAGGCCTTCCCTTGATATTGGCTCCTGGCACTGGGATTCAGAGGTTGACTGCCTCTGAATGTGGAGGTTCCCTTTAGTCACCACGGCTAGTAGCCACTGATAGACCTCTTCTCCATGAATCTATCCAATCCCCCTTTAAAGCTGTCTTAAGAGGCGCCATGGCTTGTGCGAAGAAGGTCCCAGGTTCAATCCCCAGCTTCTCCAGTTGAAAAGACTAGCCAGTAAGTAATGTGAAAGACCCTCACCTGACATGGAGACTTCCTGCCAGTCTAAATAGACATCACTGACCTTGATGGACTGACGGTCTGATCCCAGTATAAGGCAGCTTCCGAAGCGTCCGGTAAGCGTCACTGCCACTGTGATTTCCGTGCTGCTGACCCTTTCCCGTTTTGCCTTTCAGGAAACGGATTTAGATTTGGAGATGTTAGCGCCCTACATCCCCATGGACGACGACTTCCAGTTACGTTCCTTCGACCAGCTTTCTCCGCTGGAGAGCAGTACGGCGAGCACGCCTCCCAACGTGGCCGTCATGTTCCAGCCGGCTCCGCTGCCGTCCGCTGCCACGGATGAGATAAAGCCCTTGTCCACCAAACTTATGGATGACTCTAAGATGCTCCTAGAGCCCATTCAAGTCACCATAGAAAACACCAGCCCCCCAGCCTCGCCGTATGTGGAGAGTCCGAGCCGGACAGCGTCGCCGGTCAGAACGGGAAAAGGCCTGGTGGAGCAGAAAGGGAAATCGAGTCCGGGGACACCCAATTTGTTAACAGTCACGTTGGGCAAAAGGTAGCTGTAAAAACTTGTTTGATTTTAAAAACACGTCAAAACTATGAATGGAAGGGAGGGATTGGTTTTTGTGTGTGTCTGTTTAAACGTCTCATTAAGAACTAACTTTGTTCTGCAAGGAGCTATGACTTTTTAACCGGCGTCCTTGTAGATCTGCTAACGTGTTATTTGTCTATGGCATTTTATACATGCAAGTGTTGTATCATCCCTTGAGATGGCAGTTGTACCCAGGTTACAGATGGGGAACTGTAACTATTGAGTTGGATGTCACTTTCCCAAATGCCCTGCCAAAGTTCAGGGCGAAGCTGAGTCTTGGAGCCCTGGAATTCTAGATCCAAATTACATGATCTTAACAAGTAGTTAATTGACACCCCCTGCTTTTCCTTTTATTACAGTGTGTCTAAAGCCCAAAGTTAAACATTTCCTTTTCGTCAGTCTTGTTATGTAGAGCACAGATTGTAATTCAGCTTTTATCTATTGATCGATAGATATAGATATATACATGCAAAGATTCAAGATTGTATGGTTTGAAATTCCATTGTTCATCGGGTTTCCATCACTTCCTTGACAATACGGGTGATTTTGAGGGCAGTGCCTTGGAAAAGTGAAGTTTGGTGAAGATGTGATGTCATTTCAGGGCAGGGCCGGCTCACTCACTAGGCGAACTAGGCAATCGCCTAGAGCGGGCCGGCCCTTAGGGGCGCCAAGCTGCACCCGGCCCCGTACTCTGGGAGTTTCTTGATTATTTGTGTTTTTCATTCTTCCTAAAATGCATTTATTTTTGAAGATTGGTGGGCACATGGGGAGGGGGGCGCCAGAAGGGATCCTTGCCTAGGGTGCAAAATAAGTTGGGGCCGGCCCTGTTTCTGGGTAACATTCTAGGAGTTTCCCCCAGTCTTTAGGGTAAAAACCATAGAGCAGGGGTGTCAAACATCAGGCCCGGGGGCCCAGAACCAACCCGTTCAGGGCTCTTGTGCGGCCCGTGAGCAACTGACGCAAGGGAGGGAGTGCTGGGGGGGAGTGGGCAAAGACACTCCGTTGTGGCTTCAGCACGGCAGAACAACCTCGTCTGCTGCAGTTAAGCATCGTGGGAGCATCTTCCCACGCTGGCTGCACTGCTGCCTCTCCAGTCCGCCCTTGTGGGTTTTCCTCTGCACCCCAGCTCCCAGTGCATGGGGCCTTGCAGTGAGGATACACCAACTCGAAACTTACCAGCTGCTGTCCTTTGTACAGTTTCTATCTCTGGTATCTGGCATTACGGTTTCTGGCATTCACGGCCTAGCCAGACAAAGTGATATCTGGCCCTCGTAAGAAATGAGCTTGACACCTCTGCCATAGAGGAATGAGGAAATTCTTCAGGGTGTTATTGTGGATGCCATTTGCTGTCTGCCACCCCCACCCCCCCTTTCTTGAGGGTGGGGGATTGGGGCCAAGGGGTAGGCAGATGCTAAGCCACTGTGGGTGGGCAAACGGCAAGCCAAGTTGTGCACCCCTAGCAGGTAGGTGCCAAGATGATCGATACAACATGTTTTTGGCCACCGTGTGACAGAGTGTTGGACTGGAAGGGCCATTTGTTTGATCCAACATTGGCTTCTCTTATGTACTTATGTTTAAGTTTGTGCAGTCTTTAGATAAATATAGCTTGGCAAGTGTCTTGGCATGTTGGACTCTGGTCCCTCTAAGCAGGCACTGGAGTATGAATATAATTTGTCTTCTATTTTGTGACATCTAGTTCATTTGTATTATAGTACCTGGAATTTGAAAGCCTGAACTCTGCCCAGCTTTTACACAACTGCCCACCAGCACTTTACACACCCATTGGGAATAGTGTGCCAGTTCCGTTGAGAATGTTAACACTGCCCCCCACCCGTTTTTTGCAATTAAATGGGCATCACCGAGCACCCGAGCGCCAGTTTGGTGTAGCGGTTAAGAGCACAGACTCTAATCTGGGAGAGCCGGGTTTGATTCCCCACTCCTCCAGATGCAGCTGCTGGGTGACCTTGGGTTAGTCACAGGTTCTCTCAGAGCTTTCTTGAAGTAGCAGTCTTCGATCAGTTGTACCTCTCCCTAGTAAAATCAAACCACAAGCTGTTCTCTAGGGGAGTGTTGCCTTTAGAATGCTTAGCCACTCCTCGGAACTCTGCTGGAACCCTCACATCTTTGAGATGCAGGCACGGAAGGGGGTGTATGTGGGTGTTCAGACAACTTCTGCCAGTAAAGTAGGGGATTTATACCTTTTCCTTACAATACTTCCAATCAGGGGTCATTTTGTAGAAAAAGAGGTGCAGGAGCTCATTAGCATAACTTATTTGCATAACTTATTTGCATATGCCACACCCCCTGACATCACCGGAAGTGTGTCAGAAGGCAACACCCACCACTCAGGTTCCACTGGACTGTTTTGGATTGCTGCTCCTTGTGGCCTGACTGAGGGCTGCTGGGAGCAGGGGGCGGGGCTTGTTGCATGTGCCCGCCCCCTGGGCTCCTTACTGCCAGAGCTCCACTCCTGTGCGCTCCCGCAGGAAATGACCCCTGCTTCCAATCTTGCGTTTCCAAAAGCTTGTCAACGCCTCTGTTTCTTGTATCTCAGTCTCAGCCAGCGTTGCTTCCTCTTTGTACGCAGCGTCTTTTAACTGCATTCCGATTGGAATGAAACGTAGCAGTAGTTTGGTATTCGTGGCAAAAACAGGAGAAGTCTTCCATGTTTTCAGTGGAGTGTTTTCTTTGTCCTTTAGGGATCCCCACCCCCCCCCCCCCCCAACCATCTATGCCACTCACGCATTCTTGACACATTTGCAGTCTGAAATGCACCCCACAACCCTCAGGCAGTGTTCCCTCTAAGCTGAGTTAGTGTGAGTTAGCTTCTCGCAGTTTTTCAGCCTCCAGCTCACACATTTTTGTCTTAGCTCAGGAAGGAGGGCTCCAGAGCAAACTAATTTATGCAGTAGCCAAATCGCTTGCTCACAACTTTAATGTCAGTCACTCACAATTTTGCTCACAAGACTCCACAGCTTAGAGGGAGCGTTGCCCCAGGAGCAAATTCCTTCCTCCCTTCTCATGATGTGAGTTACGGTTTATTATTGCACGTGGCTAATGCTAACCAAAGTTCCCTCACTAACCAGAATTTTCCTGAATAGAAAAAGAAACTAAGGAATGTTTTCCTAATGCATGAAACAATGGCTTTGAAATGATTGTAGGCGAGGAAAGTGGGCAGTACCCCCAAAATTATTATGTGGATATGGCCTCCTTTTCCTTTTTTTGCTGAAACGAAAGAGGGCCAAAAAGAGAAAAAGTTAAGACAAAAGGTTTTGAATAGACTCTAAGGAAGCGGTTGGACTTATTAACAAATCAGAATGTGATGAAACCGTGCTTTCAGAATGGATTTAGAATCCCGCTCGCAGGGGAGCCTAGTTAGTATTCCTTGCAGTTGGTGCTAAAGGTGGAATGCAAATGTTTTAATAAACTTAGTAAATACTATCCATTGTGTTTTTGTAATGATAAATTATGGTTAATTCTGACAGGGAAGGGGAAGTAGGAAACTTGCTTCAGAGAGAGGGAAGAGAGAGAGAGAGAGAGAGAGAGAGAGCATGCAGCTGCCTTCCAGCATGGTATAGTGGTTAGAGTGCTGGACTAGGAGCTGGGAGACCCAGGTTTGAATGCCAACTTCTGCCCTGGAAGCTCACTGGGTGACCTCAGGCCAGTCACATGCTCTCAGCCTGACCTACCTCACAGGGTTGTTGTGAGGATGAAATGGAGAAGATAACAATGAAAGCTGCTTTGGGTCGGCATTGGGAGGAAGGCAGGATATAAATAAAGTAAATCTATATAAAAGCCTAACATATTGGCACTTTCCAGCTCTCCTATTGGCTGTGCTGTGCGCTCCATCAGCCATTGGCCCATTAACCGCCACTCAAGAGTACTCGCGTGCCATTGGCTGGGTGCTGGTTCCGCTCCTCTGGCTCACTCCACTGCCAGCCTGGTAACTATTCCCTGACAAATTCCCTTTCCTGACAAAGATTCTTCATCTGCTGCTAGGCTCACTTTTGCTTCAGTGGCTGTTGCTAAGCAACCAAGCTTAGTGCTGTCAGTAAAAGGTGTGGGGGGGCCTTTGAGAGAACACTCATTGGGTGCAGTCCTGACTAGGGTTGCCACCTCCAGTCTGGGAAATTCCTGGAGATTTTGTGGTGCAGTCTATAGAAGCCAGAGTTTGGGGAGTGGAGAGTCAACGGAATAGAATGCCATAGAGTCCACCCTCCAAAGTAGTTATTTTCTCCAGGGGGAGAGAGATCTGTTCCCTGGAGTTCAGTTGTGATACCAGGCAATCTTTAGGCTCCACCTGGAGGTTGGCTACCCGAAGCCTGGCAGTGCCCTCTGGGTGACTTGATGACACCTGACTGGCATGAAAACTAGGCCTGGCTGCTTACTCCTGTTCACTTCCAGCAGCCCTTCTTTTTTAATATTTAAACTAAATATTTAGAAAAATAAGAAGAGATTGGATTTATACCCCGCCCGTCACTACCCGAAGGAGTCTCAGAGTGGCTTACAATCCTTTTCCCTTCCCCTTCCCACAACAGGCACCCTGTGAGGTAGGTGGGGCTGAGAGAGCTCTCTTGAGAACTGCCCTTGAGAGAACAGGTCTGAGAGAACTTGCGACTGACCCAAGGTCACACCAGCAGCTGCATGTGGAGGAGTGTGGAATAAAACCCGATTCCCCCAGATTAGAGTCCATGCTCTTAACCTCTACTCGAAACTGGCTCTCTAGGACAGCCAGTGTGGTATAGCAGTTAGCACTTCAGATCAGGGTCTGCCAGACCCATGTTCTTGCTGTGGAAGCTGATAGGGTGATTTCAGACCACTCACAGACTTTCAGCCTAACCTGCCTCACAGGGTTGTTGTGCAGATTGAAAGGGGAAGAGGAGAATGATGTGAGCTGCTTTGGTCCCCATTGCCGAGAAAGACTATTCTTTTCCTAGCTAGAGGCTGCAGGGAGGGAGGAGGAGATGGGAAGCTGAAGTCAGAGGGGCAGATAAAGGTAGGTTGATGGCTGGCTGGGAAGGGGATAGGGTTGTCGACTCCAGGTTGGGAACTTTCTGGAGATTTGAGGGGTGGAGCCTGATATGGGTGGGGTTTGAGGAGGGGTGGGACCTCAGAAAAGTACAATGCCATAGACTCCACCCTCCAAACTAGTAATTTCCTCATGAGGAACCATTGTTGCTAATCTCCAGGTGAGGGCTGGAGATTACTCAGACTTACAAGTGCTCTTCAGATGGCAGTTCCCTTGGAGAAAATGGTGGACTCTCTGTCATTATTGTGGTTGCCACAGAAAATTGACGCTGAGTGCCCAAGGTAGGGTACCCACCCAGAGCTTTTTTCTAGAGCTCATTGTATTTATTTCTACAATGGGCCTTATTCCTAGTAGATAAATAAAGTGCCACTTGGCTTTTGTTTTATGTTGCTACAGCAGGCCAGCACTGCTCCCCCTTTGCAACAAACCTAATAAGCCAGTTTCATATTGTTCTATGACCAGCCAACTCAAACCAAAACAACATCCTCATCCCTCCCCCAAACTGAAGGAAAATAGCCTCACCTGGATACATGGTGACTTTTTTCCTGCCAAGAGGAATGGACGAAAGCAATAGATTGGGATGCTTGAACATAGAACAAGTTCTTCGTTCATCAAGCACTTCAGCATTACGTTGGGTGAAATAGGAATCTTCATCCTAGAAAGCAGAGCAGTTTAAACCATGTCAGCCAAATTTCCCTGATGCTTTGCTTCGTTTCTCAAATGGTTTAATATTAATGTATCAACTAGTAAAGCAACAAAGCCTTTGTTGCAGGGCTGTTCTTTCCCTCTCCCTCCCTCCAAAAGGAGGAGACCTCAGTCTGCCAATGAAGGAAACAGAGGCTTGGCTTTGTATCTCTTCTGTGTGAAGCAGGAGAGGGAGCTGGGCAAAAGTGAGCTGCAATGCAGCGGTGGCAGTAGCCCCGGAGAAGGAAGAAGGAGAGAGCCAGTTTCTCGTGGGCTGGATACGAGCCTTGCAGGGGCCAGTTCTGGCCTGCAGGCTGTATGTTTGACACCCCTGCTCCGGAGGAACTGATTGGCCACTGTGGGAGACAGGATGCTGGACTGGATGGACCACTGGACTGATCCAGTAAGGCCCATCTTCTGTTCTTATGAATTGAATCTGCCTGAAATTAAGGTGCATCTTCTGCCCTGGAATCCCTGTTCTCCCTAGTTACATAGTGGCTAGTACTAGAGAAGAAAACCACTCCTTTCTTTTGGTATTGCTTTGGGCAAATCAGGGCTCCATCCTGACACAAGGTTCTGGTGAGCCCAGACTCCCTTGTTCTGGTGAGCCCAGACTCACTTCTCTGATCTCCCTAGGGAACCCAAGGTGTGTTTTTGGTTTATAAACAAGCAAAGGGAGCATTGCGATATCAAAACCATGTTTCACATGCGGCTGGTTTTAATATGACAGTTGTCTTCTTGAGGGGAGTCAGAACTTAACGGTGTGAATCTCTTCTCCTCAGTAAATCAACTGCAACGAACGAAGACCTCAATCCAAAGATCATAGCTCTGCATAACATTCAGAGGAAACGGAAGATGGAGCAGGACGGTTTGCTTTTCCAAGCAGTGGGAATTGTAAGTTTTCAAATATTCTTTCGTTACTGTTGCCATTAAAGCAATAAAGGCGTCACGTCTCTCTTTTTGCCTTGATTTTTCTGATAGGGTCACATTTAGCACAAACATAAATAACTCTGGGGCAAAGCGTAGCGTGAAATTTTCTGGAGCCAAGCGCCCATGAAACGAAAGGGAGTCACGTGCCAGTAGTGAGCCACATCCTTGCCTTGCCTGAGAAGAGGCACGTGTGCGTCCCATGCATCTGGGTTCACGCATACATGTGTGCCTCCTCTTTTAGAAGATAAGAAGCCGTAGGCTGGGGTGTAAAATGATAGTGGGTGGCCTGCCTAGTTGAGTAAGGCCTTAGATTAGTGAGGGTGAGCTGCAGGTGGGACGTGCATGTATTAGAATGATTTATAATGAATAAGGGGGGTGGAACACCTTCCTTATGAAAAAAAGGTAAAGAGGTTAAGGCTCTTTAGCTTGGAGGAATGATGACTGAGGGGAGACATGACAGAGGTTCACGAAATTATGCATGGGATAGAGAAGACGGAGGAAGAAGTTCTTTTCTCCCTTTCTCACAATACGAGAACTCGTGGGCACTCAATGAAACTGATGAGCAGTAAGCTTAGAACAGATAAAAGGGCGTACTTCTTCACCCAAAGAGGAAAGAACACGTGGGATTCACTTCCGCAGGAATTGGTGATGGCTATCTAAGCATGAGGAGCTGCGGTGGCTCAAGGGGTTAAGACGCTGAACTGCAGGCTGTGGAAGGTTGGTAGTTCAGCAGTTCGAGACCCGAATGTGCCGCATGACGGAGTGAGCTCCCGTCTCTAGTTCCAGCTCCTGCCAACCTAGCAGTTTGAAAGCAAGAAATTGCAAGTAGATAAATAGGTACCACTTCGGAGGGAAGGTAACAGCGTTCTGTGCGCCTTGGTGTTTAGTCATGCCGCCCACATGACCACGGAAATGTCTTCAGACAGCGCTGGCTCTTCGGCTTTGAAACGGAGATGAGCACCGCAAGCCTAGAGTCGGATTCGACTGGCTTTCGAGCAAGGGAACCTTTACCTTTACTTTACCTTTTTACCTAAGCATAGACAGCTTCCAGAGGGGATTGGTTAAACATCTGGAGCAGAGGTCCATCAGTGGTGATTAGCCACAAGGTATAGATGGAACACTGCATCTAGGGCAGTGTTGCTCTGCATTCTTAGTCCTTGGGGTACCACAGTGGGAGGGCTTCTGGAGTTCTGGTCCTGCTGGTGGGCCTCCTGACGGCACCTGGGTTTTGGCCACTGCGTGACACAGAGTGTTGGACTGGTTGGGCCACTGGCCTGAACAGACATGCCGTCTCTTACGTTCTTAATGTTCTTAGAGTGTCACAGGTCTTCTGGAAACCAAGAGGGGTTTGCTCTGGAGCCATCCTTCGTGAGCTAAGATTAAAATGTGTGAGCTGGAGGCTAAAAAACTGTAGCTAGCTCACACTAACTCAGCTTAGAGGGAACACTGGTCTCATGGATCACCAAAATCTCTACAAAGGTGGCATAATCTAGTAGAGAGGATTTCTTAGGGGTGGAATCTTTGTTCATTTTTTCATTAGTGTTTTTTTCCCCGTGGCCTCTCACCCAAAGGATCTCATGGAAACTTACAACACCTATACAACAATCATAACAAATGAGTTTAAAAACCCAACCAAAATCAGATAAAACATTTAAAATAGATTAAGATAGATTACTCAGCATACGAGCCAGGCCAGAGCATCTGGTAAACCTCCAAAGGCCAACTTGAGCAATTCGGCCTAAGCAAGTCCTGCAGGGCACGGGTATCACCAGAGAGCACATGCCACAGGATAGGGGCCAGCACTGAGAAAGCCCCCCCCCCCCCCCCCCCTAACACCCCCCCAACCTCCAAAGACCACCTACAAGGGACTGAAGGGGGTGCAGGGGGCTGTAACAGGAATCCTTGCACTTTGCAATGCCACTGTGGGTGGAAAGGATCCATTAAGAGCCATATTGACGAAGTTGGGGGGAATGAGGTTCATTTTCATGCCTGTTCCTATCATTTGACTTTTGTATTTACTGGAGTTGCTTGCTGGAAGGGTTGGCCAGTGCACTGTGCTCGGCCGAAGACTGGTGGGGGGGGGGGAGAAGGGCTGTAATAGCACCAAACAGAATCTGTTCAGTTTTTTGCCCTGGACCAGAATCTGAAAGCTGACCGACAGAGAGCAGTTTTTTTGGCTTCCTTTTTTCCAGGGATCTTGTCAATTTATTTATTTGGAAAATGTTGATGCTCTCTCTCCAGGGAACCTGCCTAATACAGCTTACAAAAATTTTCAAAAATTCAAGTTCAAAACCTTTATTGGCATAGATCATAATCATACACAGTCGCCATTCAGATAATGGATTTGGCACACAGCTTCCTCATTATAAGGCAGTTACTAGAAACCATAAAAGTTGTTAATTAAGAAGAAGAAGAAGAAGAGGAGATTAGATTTATCCCCCGCCCTTCACTCCCTGAAGGAGTCTCAGAGCAGCTTACAGTCCCTTTCCTTTCCCCTCCCCACAACAGGCACCCTGTGAGGTAGGTGGGGCTGAGAGAGCTCTCTTGAGAACTGCCCTTGAGAGAACAGTTCTGAGAGAACTTGTGACTGACCCAAGGTCACACCGGCAGCTGCATGTGGAGGAGTGGGGAATCAAACCCGGTTCTCCCACATTAGAGTCCGCGCTCTTAACCACTACAGCAAATCACACCAAATCCAGGATTAAAACTCCCACCAGTTCATAGAATCGCAGGCAGTTTAAAATAACAGGCTCATAAATACGGACTAAAATGGTGTTAAAAAATAGAGCCCCTTACTTAAAAGCCTGCTTGAACAGAAACATTTTGGCCTAGCAGAAAGCATCGTAGGCGACAGGCGAGCCTCAAGGGGAAGGACATTCAAAAAGTTCGCCATGACAACTTTTGCTTGTCCACAGGGGCTTCTGCAGGTGCCAACCTGCCAATGGGCAAAACCAACCACTGCCCATACACGGGCCTTCTCTGTTGTGGCCCCCTTCTTGTGGAACGGCCTGCCCAAAGAGGTTAGGACGTCTCCCCCTCTCCTGGCCTTCTGCCAGGAGTGAACTGAACTGCAGAACTGAACTATCAACGAGGGCTTTACTGCACAAGTAATAGGGTTGATCGAAATGGTTCACAAACTTATTTGAATGAAGGATTAGGACCGTGGTCTATAGTGCAGCAAATACAGTGTTCCCTCTAAGGTGAGTTAGTGTGAGCTAGCTCACAGTTTTTTAGCCTCCGGCTTACACATTTTTGCCTTAGCTCAGGAAGGAAGACTCCAGACGAGCAAACTAATTTATGCAGCAGCCAAATCACTCGCTCACAACTTTAATGCCAGTCGCTCACAAAGCAGAATTCTTGCTCACAATACCCCACAGCTTAGAGGGAGCATTATAGCATGTTGTAAGTCGGACCCTATTTATGTAATTTCTTTACGGCTTAATGTGCCACGTTAATACCTAAGCTATACGTCAGTTCTTTCTGGTGGTTCCAGATTCCTAATCTCTTAATGCATTACTGAATGTCCCATTTTGTTGATCGTACTGACGCACTATGTGTAATCTACCTTGCGTCCCTGTGGGAAAGGCGGACTACAAAAAACATAAATATTTTTATTTTAAAGAATAAGCAAGGTGCCACTACTGAATAGGCCCTGTCCCTGGTTGCCACTCGCTTCACCTCTGAATGGCACCAGTCGCCGCCACCTCTGCGTAACATCACTTACAAAAGATAGTTCTGAGATTGGTTAAGAGTGAGGAAGTCTCTTGCCCTGAGATCGCTGCCCTGCCGCTGTGACAACCAGATTACTCTCTGCCATCAGCAGGAGGGAAGGTGCCCATGCCGTTTCTGCCACAGCCTTTCTCGCGAATATCGCCCTGGTGGCCAAAAACCTCTTCCGTCACCACCACCAAGAGAAGTCTAAAGGTAACAGTAGCAGCGTCCCTAAAGGTCCCTAGGCAGCATTAGGGCTCAGTGACTTCCTCTCTCGAAACAGCAGGAGAAGTTACTGCAGAGAGAACAGGTGCTGGATTCGGAGTGCAGACCATTTTGAAGCTCAGAGAGAGAAGACGCCTGTTTGGAATCATGTGCTAGTCAGTCCCACCCCCCTCCCGGCCTTGGGTTTGTTAAAACAAATTTCATATTCATACGCAATTGCTATCATTGCATTGGTGAGGACGTAGGGTTGAAACACAGTTTAAAAATGCACGAAACAAACAATGAAGTTGCATGGGAGTTCGCACTGTAGTGATTTCCCAGTGGATCATGCCCTACATTCCAACTTTCTTCTGAAGTCTGACCATGCACAGACTTGCTTTGGAAGGACAGCCGTTCTTACCATAGAATCTAATAATCACAGAGTTGGAAGGGGCCATACAAGCCATCTAATCCAATCTCCTGCTCAATGCAGGATCAGCCTAGAGCAACGCTCCCTCAAAGCTGTGGAATCTCGTGAGCAAAAACTTTACTTTGTGAGCCACTGGCATTAAAGTCGTGAGCCAGCAATTTGGCTGCTGCATAAATTAGTTTGTTCTGGAGCCCTCCTTCCTGAGCTAAGACAAAAATGTGTGAGCCAGAGGCTAAAAAACTGTGAGCCTAGCTCACACTCAGCTTAGAGGGAACACTGGCCTACAGCATCCCTGACCAATGTTTGTCCAGCCGCTGCTTGAAGACTGCCAGTGAGGGGGAGCTCACCACCTCCCTAGGCGGCCCATTCCACTGCTGAACAAATCTTACTGTCAAAAAGTGTTTCCTTTCCGGCCTTAATTTAAACCCATTCTTGCTGCTGCCGACAGGAACAGTAGCAGTTGGTTAACTTTCATTCAGTAGCAGTGACTATCTGTAACAAACTTTCTTATCTGTGTCTTTTTATGTGTGTGTTGTTTTTTTTAAAGGGTGCTTTGCTGGCGCAGTCGGGTAGTCCCGGAGCAAACGTGTCACTAGCCTGGAAACGTGTTAAAGGGTGCAAGTGTAACGGGCAGAATGAGGTGGCGGAGAAGACGGTCATTTTGCTGCCGTCAGGTTAGTATCTCTGTGTGTGCTGATGTAATCTGCGGTGATATCCAAGTGGTGTCTGCAAAACAAGGCCGATGAGGGTTTCTCATTAATTGTCATTAATGTTTTATTGCTTTTATCTGTTTTATATGGGTTTTTTCCTTGTAAGCCGCCCTGAGCCCGTTCTGCGGGGAGGGCGGGGTATAAATCTTAAATAAATAAATAAATAAATTTCTCCCTTGTGCCCTTCCCATGAAATTGTCACCCACGGTTGCCCAGTGCTGAAAATGGAAGTCTTTGCCTTTGAAGCTTCTGTTAATCTTGCAATCAGAGCCCCTGTCTGCAGGGAATGTGGCCAGGTGGAGCATTCATATGCTTCAAAGAATATGCGTACATATTCCCCATACAAATGGGAGAATTTCTGAAACATGAGGAAGGGGGACAGGGTACTGGAGCAAACTATTGTGGCGTGTGGAACAGCTACAGGGGGACCTTGGGTTTTTTTGTTTGACGGTGTCTTTGGCCTTGAAAAAGGAATGGACTTCACAATGGGTATCTGCAAGTGGAATAGCATGGTATGAGGATAGGAGACTTTTTGTTGAATAAAAGAGGACTTACTCTTGAGTAGACCCACTTAGGATTGCTCCAGGAGGCAAAACACCATTCCCTGCCTGATTAGCTATTGAACAGCAGGGCTACATTTGTTTCATGTAAGCGGAGGAGGGGCTGTGGCTCTGTGGAAGAGCCTCTGTTTGGCATGAGCAGGGGGGAGCGAGTTTAATGGCTTCTAGCCATGAAAAGGGAGCTTTGCCGAATAATATCAGCAATACCGATTATTTCCTGAAACATACCAATATTTGGGATTCAGGAGTATTGGTATATACTGATATTTTTCAGGTTTAGTATACCCAAACTTGAAAAATACTGATTTTTTTTGTGTGCACGCACACCCCTAGTTATGACCCTAATTACATCTGTAGCAGAAGCTTATGCAGCTTGTGTTTCTTGAATTTGCCTATTTGTATTTGAGGAGGGGCTGTGACTCAATGGCAGAGCATATACTCGGCATGCAGAAGGTCCCAGAATCAGTCCCTGGCATCTCCAGTTTGAAAGATCAAGTAGTAGGTGATGTAAAAGACCTCAGCCTGAGACCTTGGAACAGCCACTGCCAGTCTGAGTAAACAATACTGACTTTAATGGACCAAGGGTCTGATTCAGTATAACGCGGGTTCATACGTTCATGGGAGAGAAATTTGGAGTTGGTTCTTTCCCCCCCACTTTCCTTATAGAATCATAGAGTTGGAAGGGGCCAATACGGACCATCTAGTCCAACCCCCTGCCCAATGCAGGACCAGCCTAAAGCATCTCTGACAAATATTCATCCAGCCTCTTCTTGAAAGCTGTCAGTGAAGGGGAGCTCACCACCTCCCTGGGCAGCTGATTCCCCCCTTGAACCACTCTGACTGTGAAAAATTTTTTCCTAATATCCAGCCGATACCTTTCTGCCTGTGATTTAAACCCGTTGCTTCGGGTCCTGTCCTCTGCTGCCCACTGGAACAGCTCCTTGCCCCTCCTCCCAATGACAGCCTTTCAGATATTTAAAGAGAGCAATCCTGTCCCCCCTCAATCTCCTCTTCTCCAAACTAAACATTCCCGGGCCCTCAGCCTTTCCTCGTAGGGCTCAGTCTCCAGACCCCTGATCACCCTCGTCGCTCTCTTCTGCACCCTCTCGATTTTGCCCACATCTTTTTTTGAAGTGAGGCCTCCAGAACTGCACACCGTACTCCAGGTGCGGCCTGCAGTATACAGTATACAGTATACAGAGGAGCTATGACCTCCTGCGATTTTGATGCTACGTTATTACACAAGTGACACTTTCCCCCCCCCCTCCAGATATAGCCAGCAAGCTCCTAGGACAGTCGATGGACGAGAAGGGGCTCCCGCAGCTGACGAGCTACGACTGTGAAGTGAACGCTCCCATCCAAGGCAACCGAAACCTGCTGCAGGGTGAAGAGCTGCTGAAAGCCCTGGATCAAGTCAACTGAGCTTCCCCCTCTCCCCCCGCACTGTTGTCGTTCCGTTTTATTGGACACTGGTGATTCATCACCTAAAAAAATAAGCAGTCTATTTATATTTTCTATATCAGATCTTAGAAGCCTGGCTACAAAATACTGCACTAATTCAGTTAGTTGGGTTTGGATCCCCTTTCTACTTTTGGAGTCTTTCTCTTCTTTTTTTAAGAATGCATTCGTTACGAAAAACAGCAGTGAACTCCGCAAACTGCGTTTTCGTAATTGAACCTTTGGTAGCCGAAACGTTGGAAATCTGGGACATTTTTTAAGAGCACGCTGGCAATTTTGCAGCTTTTTAAGTAGGCGCCTTTTTAATTATTATTTATTTTTTTAATTTTTGACCGGGAGTTTGTTACTGAAAAGATGTTTCATTGGTGAAACAGGCTCAGCCTTTTTAAACGTTGTGAGGTCCGTAAGTGAGCCGAGAAACAAGTTTGCAATTTGTAGCTCTACGACGTCCAGATAAATTTTTACTTCTTTTAACTTTTTTTAAAGAAGGAGTCGGAAAAAATTTACTAAACGTTGCTTTGCTGCAGTGCATTTGTAGCCACAATCGCACAATATATTTTCTTAAGAAAATAAAAAAAAATTAAAAGAACCAGCAAGTTCCTCATGCAATATATTCTGCGTTTATAAAGCTAGTTTTTAAAGGAGGACAATCTTTTGGATTTTTCTTTTCTTCCTTTCTGTTCCATCTCGTTCTGTTTTATTGCCTGTGAAATCACGTCGAAATTTTTTGGAGTAACGCTGTCGTTTTAGCCACGTCGTAATACAGAAGAGTTTCTTAAATGTTGTGTTTAATGTCAGAGTGTGGTCGGGAGGAAAAGAAAAGAACGCCCCGATCTCAAGAAGTTAGCAATGTTTGGGGATTTTTAGTTCATAGATTTTTTTATTATTATTAAAAAAGATGTCTCGACGCGTTTATATGTGGTGTGGAGAAAGAGATTATAATACTAGAATTCGGGCTCAGCTATTGAAATCAGTTGTGAGTAGGTTCAGGGGAGGCGAAAGAAATGACTTCTTTACACAAGGCATTAATTAATTGCTACCGGTAACGGTTTAGACATGCTCACGGCTGCCTGTAGCAATTGGCCACGATAGCTAATAAATGCCTCCATTTTCAGAGGCAGTCTACTTTGCTGGGGGACAGAATAACAGGGGAAGGATTTCCCCTTCACGTCCTGCTCACAGGTTTCGTTGACGCACCAGGTTGGCCATTGTGAGAACCAGGATGCTGGATCAGATGGGCCTTGGGTCTATTCCAGCAGGGGTCCTCGCCCCCTTTAACGAAAAGAAAAATGTTGTTTTTTAAAAAGTGTTTTCGAAGTAGCCCACGTCACCCGTGCAAAGACAGAAACAAAAATCTCTCTCCTCCCCTGCCTATAGCTGTAAAAGTTCATGCTGATTATCGTGTACCCGAGAACCGAATCTTTAAATGTTTCCAGTTTACCTTGCCTGGGTAGAGGTGATATTTCAAGCGAATCGTAAAAGCATCCTTTTCTCTCTCTCGCTAGCAGAGTTTCCTAGTCCAACATTGAGTTGCTCAGTGATATATAATGTTTTTGGGTTTTATGCACCTTGTTGCTATTAATATCTGTATATTTTATTTTATTTTATTGTTAACCATAGATTTAAGTAATGCTGAATATATTTTAGGAACCTTTTTTTTAAAAAAAAGATAGGGAATATGTCACAGAACATCTTATTTTCCTTCATTGTGCTGGACAATATTCCCTCCCCCCCCCCCACATTCTCTCCTCCTTTTTTGTGGTTGGATCTAACCCTAACTGTATTGTTTTATTACATCAATAAACTATATGTGGACCAGGCCCGCACACACGGTGTTGTTGTATCTGCCGGTAATTGTGCTTCCAGGTGCCTTTTGATTGTAACCTAGAGCCCCACAAGATTGTTGAAAAAGTGTGCTAGGCAGTTTTATGGGGTTGGTTGGGCTCCTTCTGTAGCAGGAACTCCTTTGCATATTAGGCGACACATCCCTAATGTAGTCAGTCCTCCAAGAGCTTACAGTAGCCCCTGTAAGAAGAGCTCTGTAAGCTCTTGGAGGATTGGCTACATTAGGGGCGTGTCGCCTAATATGCAAAGGAGTTCCTGCTACAAAAAGAGCCTGGGAATGCTCTTGCTTTAATACCATGGAGGAATTAAGAAGAGAAGAAGAGATTGGATTTATACCACGCCCTTCACTACCCGAAAGAGGCTTACAATCCCTTCCCCTCCCCACAACAGACACCCTGTGAATTAGGTGGGACTGATTGAGCTCTCTTGAGGACTGCCCTTGAGAGTACAGCACTGAGAGAAGGTGTGACTGACCCAAGGTCACACCTAGAGATGTGAAGGCCAGGGAAAAAACCGGAAAAATTCAGGAAGAAACCATTTTTTCCTTGAAGGTTTTTTGTTTCTTTCCAAAAAATTGGAAAAATGGAAAAAAGAAAAGAAAAAAATTGATTATGGAACATTTTAACATGATGAATAAAATATTTTAAGACAAGGTGTTCAAATATTTTCCAAATCATTTCTAAAAATATGTATGGTATCAGATTGATCTAATTTCTGTTCACTGAGGACAAGCAAGTCCTAGGTTACAAACTGAACTCTTCAATGCAAGAACAAGATGCATTTCTTCCTTTAGGAGGTGCTATTGTCACAAGAAAATAAAAAGGTTTCAGTTTTGTTTTTGCATGTGGGTGGGTATTCTGTTTGTAATACTTGTTTGGATACACTATATTTTTAATATGCTAATTGTGATAATTTCATGCCAAGTAAAAATGTCCATAGTCATATTTTATGTTCCTAAAGTAACAGAATGACTTTCAACCTGGAAAAGAAAAAAGAAGTGCTAATGTAGCATTTTTTTCAATTTTTCTGAAAATTTCCTTTTTCCCCCCGGAAGAAAACGGGTTTCTTTCCTAGCTTCAAAATTTCCAGAAATTTTACATCTCTAGTCACACCAGCAGCTGCATGGGTAGGAGTGGGGAATCAAACCCAGTTCTCCCAGATTAGAGTCTGTGCTCTTAACCACTACACCAAACTGGCTCTCAGGATTAAGTACTGGACTCAAGACTAAGTAGATTGGATCCAGTCTTCCCTCTAAGCTGAGTTAGTGTGGGCTAGCTCACAGTTTTTTAGCCTCCGGGCTCATACATTTGTATCTTCGCTCAGGAGGGATGGCTCCAGAGCAAACTAATTTATGCAGTAGCCAAATCACTGGCTCACAACTTCACTGCCAGCAGCTCACAAAGTAGATTTTTTGCTCCACAGCTTAGAGGGAGCATTGGTTGGATCCATTTTGTTTTTGAGCGGACAGGAAAACTGTCTGGGAGAGAGTCTCTAGAGGGTACACTGATACCAGGACGCTGTGAAGTCACCGGCTGCCCCGTCACCAGCTAATCATGCCTCTCTTTCAGTCGCCCAAGAATGAGCAATCATGAAATCAGTACAGTGGAATGTTACAGCCGGGTTTCAAAGGAACTGCTGCAGAGTTTCGTACAAGGGGAAGCAGAGTAGGTTTTTATACCCCACTTTTCTCTGCCCTAAGGAGTCTCAAAGTGGCTTGCAATCACACTCCCTCCCCCCTCCCCACAACAGGCACCCTGTGAGGTAGGCGGGGCTGAGAGAGTTCGGAGAGAACTGTGACTGGCCCAGGGTCATCCAGCAGGCTTCACGTGGAGGAGGAATGGGGAATCAAACCTGGTTCTCCACATTAGAGTCTGCTGCTCTTAACCACTATACCATGGTGGCTCCCTAATGGCTTGCTAATGTTGCAGGGTAAGGAAAGAGGCTGTCTTGTTGCTCTGCATTATTGGTGGCTAGGCACATCATGAAGTATCCCATGACCATATACGAAGCTCCCCAGAGGTCTGCTCACTCTACATTTGTTATACGCCAGTCTGATGATTTGAATTGTTTCCCAAACACATAGATATTCTAAAGTATCGTAGAATAGGTTCTTTTGAACTATGGTGCTGGAGAAGACTCTTGAGAGTCCCCTGGACTGCAAGAAGATCAAATCAGTCAATCCTAAAAGAAATCAACCCTGACTGTTCCCTGGAAGGCCAGATAATGAAACTGAAGCTCAAAGACTTTGGCCACCCAATGAGAAGGGAGCACTCACTGGAGAAGACCCTGATGCTGGGAAAGATTGAAGGTCAAAGAAGACGGGGACGGCAAAGGATGAGATGGTTAGACAGTGTCATCGATGCAACGAACATGAAATTGAGTGGCAGAAGACAGGAGGGCCTGGCGTGATCTGGTCCATGGGGTCACGAAGAGTCGGACTCAACTGTGCGACTGAACAACAACAACAAAATCGTAGTCTATGCTAGCTGTGACCTGGATGGCCCAGGCTAGCCCGATCTGGTCAGATCTCGAAAGCTAAGGAGGATCGGCCCTGGTCTGTATTTGGATGAGAGACCTCCAAGGAAGTCCAGGGTCGCTATGCAGAGGCTTGAAAACCCTACAGGGTCTCTTGCCTTGAAAACCCTACAGGGTCGCCATAAGTTGACTGCACTTTACATATACACAGAAGAAGAAGAAGAGGAGGAGGAGATTGGATTTATACCCCGCCCTACACTACCTGAAGGAGTCTCAGAGCACCTTACAATCTCCCTTCCCTTCCCCTCCCCACAACAGACACCCTGTGAGGTAGGTGGGGCCGAGAGAGCTCTCTCGATAACTGCTCCTGAGAGAACGGCTCTGAGAGAACTCGTGACTGACCCAAGGTCACATCAGCAGCTGCATGTGGAGGAGTGGGGAATCAAACCCGATTTGCCCAGATTAGAGTCTGCGCTCCTAACCACTACACCAAACTGGCTCTTGATGATGCTATTTTCCTCTCTGTCTCAATCTCCTCGTAGCCTCTTTTATTCAACTACCTGTATGGTTTCTGCAGCTTCAAAAAACACTGTAAAATAGCACAGTGGTCAGCAATTGAACTGTTAGCATTCATTTTCAGCTCCAATCTTTTCTAAAATAGCATTCCTCGTCTTACCTGACAGTTTGTCCAGTTTTAGTCTTATATGCTCAGAAACCTCCTTATATACCCATCTCGGCGTGGCAGCATAGAAAGTGGCCACTGAAAAGGCAAAATATTTCTGTCTCTTTCACATGCCACTTAACTAGACCTTGAAGTTAAATGCTTGCAAAGAACTGAAAGTACTGGGGCAGGCACAAGGTACTCAAGTATGCCAAATGGACTTACACTTGTCCCATTTGCCTTTGAGGAGAAGAAACTTGGTATGGAGGTGGGTGGAATGTAGATTTTTCTCCTTAAAGGAAATAAGTGGATTTTTAATGACCTACACAGCAAAGACTTTGCACTGTAATGTCATTAGGTGTGTAAGATTCAGGGAAAGCACATTCATCCGAATTGTTTCCCAGCTCTCAACAAACACGATGAACTTGAACAGTTTTGCAGAGAAGACCTATACATGGTTCAGTATGAACTTCACATTATCCTGTTGAGTTTTTAGGAAAAGGAGATTCGGTTGTTTATAACCCAACTGAAACAGTCCAGCATTTTATAGTATACTTTTTCGATGATGTCATTCTTTAGAGAAGCTGCTGACTGCCCGGATGATGCCGTCAGTGTTTTCTTGCTTTACTCATTTCTGAAAAAAATCCCTTCTCTTGCCCCCTACCCTTGCTTCTCCAGATGTCCTCCACAGCCCCTTAATTCAGCTAATGATAAAAATGCATCAGAAACCCAGGAGATACAAGAATAAAAGAGAACTGCCATCTCTTTTTTTAATTTGGATCCTTCGTATTAAGGAAGCGATTGGTTTTGTAAATGAGTCTGTAAAACTCATTTTACAAACCGGGCTTTGATTGGCAGCTCAAGTGTAATTCTTTGGGTACCAATCTGCTTGTGGTGCCATACAGGACTTGACTGGCGTGCGCGCGTGAGAGAGAACCATACGCAAACTGTCTGAAAAATTACTCTTCCATCAAATCATTTCCCTAAACAGAGTGACCAAATGAGGACAGGTTTTTACAGCAGTTGCAAAGGGAGAATCGCGGCTTTTCTTGCCGTTGCACGGTAATGGGTTTGTCGAAACTTGTTCCCCCCCCCCCCAATAAGCCACCTTATGTCCGCATTTGGAGAGAAAAGCAGGACGTAAATAGTCTAGATAAAAGTTACATCTTTTTAAACCCAACTAGAATGGAGTCCAGCAGCCCTTTAGAGACCAACAAAAATTTTCAGAGTATAAGCTTTTGAGAGTCAAAGTAACCTCCATCAGATCTTAGTATCTGATGAAAGGAGCTTTAATTCAAAAACCCTGAAAATCTTATTGGTCTCTTAAGGTGCTACCGGACTCAAATCCAGCTGTTCTACCGCAGACAAACAGGGCTCCTTAGAACCTATATATTTTACTTATTTCATTTCTTTAAAAAATAGAGACCACAAGGCAGAGAACCTAAGAGACTTTTTAAAAATTAAACCATTAAAAATATAGCTAAAATAATACAGTTCCATTAAAAATACAGCACTAGAATCAGAGAACCATAGAAATGGATGGGAACTCCAGGGTCATCTAGTCCAACCCCCTGCACAATGCAGGAAATTCAGAAATACCTCCCCCGCCCCCCACTTCCCCAGTGACCCCTGTTCCACGCCCAGAAGATGACAACCTCCAGGATCTCCAGCCAAACTGGCCTGGAGAAAAATAGCTTCCTGACCCCAAAGTGGCGATCATACCTGCCCAATGTTCCCTCTGAGTTAGTGTGAGCTAGCTCACAGTTTTTTAGCCTCCGGCTCACACTTTTTTGTCTTAGCTCAGGGAGGATGGCTCCAGAGCAAACTAATTTAACCCAGTAGACAAATTGCTTGCTCACAACTTTAATGCCAGTACTAGCTCACAAAGTAGAATTTTTGCTCACGAGTCTCCACAGCTTAGAGGGAACATTGTACCTGCCCATCTTCTGTAAGGTAGTATAACACCCCCATACTGGCATTCTTAATGCTACAAATCCTTTCCGTCCTCCAGTAACCCACTCACCTGGGAGGAAGCCAGTTTGCTTCGCTTTTGGCCCGGCGGGAACATAACGGCAATCCCCCTGCAGTGCTGGCCAAAACAGGTTCCCCACCAGTTACTCTTCGACTCCCCCTGAAACGCTGCGGTCCAAAGAGGCTGCCCGGTTGCCGCGCTCCGCTTGGAACTGAGGATGCTTGTCAAAGATGCAGGAGGAAGATGCAAATGAGTCGAACTCTGCCGGCCAATCGGAGCCGTCCGGCCACGCCCACCATACGTGCGGCTCGGCACCCGGGATGGAGCCGAAGGCGCTCCCCCCGCCCGCCCTCGCCTCCGCATCAATGTAGATGCTCGCCTGGCTTGGCGAACCTACGTGTGTTTTCGCATGTTGGAGTCGGCCTGCCTGGGATTGCCCCGCACGACACTCAGGGAGACCTTCTCCCCTGAGGAACGGGACAAAGTCTGAGTCCGGCGGCGCCTTTAAGGCCAACAAAGTTTAAGTCTGGGTATATGGTTTCTAGTGCATGCACACTTCTTCAGATACATTGAAACAGATTGCCTTAAACCTTATATATATATATATAGATGGGGGGGGTAGTTGGCAGGAAGGGCTAGTTAGAATCCAGATCCATAAATAACTGGGTCTAGCTAAGATTGGACTAAGGCAGTTGGTAGACCTGTGAATAGCAGCGAATTGGCATACAAAGACAAGAGTTAACACAGAGATGTGAGAACTAAGTTTGAGTCCAGTGGCGCCTTTATTTATTATTTATTTATTTATTATTTATTTGTTAAATTTAAGACCCACAAAGTCCAGTTCTGGGTATAAGCCAGAATTGAGACTTCCCATCCTGGCAACTAACCCCCCCCCCCCCCCATATGTGAGGCTTGAGGGAGTCTGTTTCGATGTACCTGGAGAAGTGTGCATGCACACAAAAGCTTATACGCAGGGTGAATCTTTGTTGGTCTTAAAGCTGCCCCTGGACAACAGCTGTTCTGTTGCTTCAGATCAACACGGCTACCCCACCTGAATCTTTTTCCCTGAATGACGGCTCGGGACATATCCACCTGGGAACGCAGTTTTGCTTTCAGCTGTTCTTTTACAGAGCCTGTCCGTTGGTTGAAAAAATCAAGCCGACATAATAAGAGCTCCGGTGGAAAAACTTGGGCAGGACAATACCGTGTCGGGCTACAAAGAAGAGGGAATTTGCATGTCTGAATGCTCTCCCGTGGGTTATACTCCTTGGGTGAGGGGCAGGGAGAGTAGGGTCGCCAGCCTCCTGGTGGCACCTGGAGATCTCCTGCTGTTACTTACTATTGATCTCCAGAGGACCAAGTTCAGTTCCCCTGGAGAAAATGGCTGCTTTGGAGGGTGGACTCTAGGGCATTATAGAGTCTCTGACCACAAATCCCCGGGTATTTCCCGACCCAGAGGTGGCAGCAATAAAGGAACAGGCAGAGCCATTAGAAACGAAACATCAAGTCAGTCTGTTGCAGCAGAACACAGCAAGAGTCCAATAGCACCATAAAGACTAACAAAATTGGTGGTTGTAATTTGGCGTACTGCCAGTTTGCTGTAAGTGATTCACAAAACCAAACAAGGACCCACGGTAAGTAGGAAGACCAACATACAACAAGTACCGTGCACAGATGATGATAACATATCATAAATAATTTTATTTTATTTTTGAAAAATATTTACAATAATTTCTACATATATAATTAATCATCTTAATCACAATTCACGATAGCAAAAATATCAAATCCAAGAATCTCAAAAGCTATTGTACAACCTTATAATTAATAATAGTCCTCCTCTGTTAAATAAAAGTTTCAAAAGGGAGGACTCCTTAAAGTCTCTTTATAACATGTGCTCTGTCTTCCTCCAGAGGTCCAGATATCCTTCTGTTTCAGAATCTTCCTCAGGGAGTTCAACAACAATTTTCAGCACAAGGTTGCCACTTGCCACATACCAAAGTTTTAATCCAAAATTATCTTTCAGTGAACGTTGCAAAAATTTTTTTTTGATGAGCTACAAGCCTCCTCCAAAGGGAACATGCTTTTCATTGAAAATTGGGCATAACTTTTTAAAGAGAATAGGGAAAAGAATAGAAGAAGAAGAAGAGATTGGATTTATACCCCCCCCTTCACTTGGAGTCTCAGAGCGGCTTACAAACTCCTTTCCCTCCCCCTCCCCACAACAGACAGCCTGTGAGGTGGGTGGGGCTGAGAGAGCTCTGACACAAGCTGCTCTTTCAGGAACAGCTGTGCCAGAGCTTGTGACTGACCCAAGGTCACATCAGCAGGTGCAAGTGGAGGAGTGGGGAATCAAACCCGGTTCTCCCAGATTAGAGTCCGCACACTTAACCACGACACCAAACTGGCTCTCTGGACGTACAAATCTCGCCGTACGAAAAAACTACTAGACCGGCTCATACAGACAGGGTTTTTTTTAAAAAAAAGAAATGTATTGCCCTTTTAAACCATTTTGCAAAACCAGAAGTAAAGACGCCGCCGGCTAGGTAGAAAACTCAGTCGGGCGGTGCGACGAGCCAAATTGCGACTTTGATTGGTCGAAACCGCCTGCTCTCGCTCCTCCTCTCTCTGGGTTGGAGTCTTCCTTAAAGGGGTATGTTAGCAGGGGACCTTTCTTAGGCAGGCTCTGTGGACAGCTGGCGCCCTTCGCTGTGGCATTTCACGGGTTAACGGAGCTCGCGGGTTTATCATTCGCCGGCGCCGGCGTGTTTTCAAAACGCCCCTCTTGCGCGCAGGCGCAGTTGAGGCGCCAGTCTGTGGAGGGGAGCGGGACGGCGGGGGAAAGATGGCGGGCAGCTGGCCGGGCCTGAAGACCGACTGCGAGGCGCTCCTCACCGCCTTCCAGGCAACCGACAACGTCCGCTTCGAGGTCTTCGCCTCGCTGTGGAGGCAGCGCCGCTTCCACACCATCTTCTAGTGAGCGCGGCTCGCGACGGTCCCTTCGGGGAGGGGGTGTCTCCCTTTGGGTTACCAACCTCCAGGCACGGCCTGGAGATCTCCCGGAATAACAGCTTATCTCCAGGCTGCAGATATTAGTTCACTTGGCGATAATGGCTGCTTTGGAGGGCGGGCTCGGAGGCATTATGCCCTATTGAGGTCCCTCCCCTCCCTAGGCTCCATCCCCAAATCTCCAGGTTTTTTTGCTAATCCAGAATTGACAACCCTATGTCAGCCGCCTTGTCTTTGCATGCTGGGGCTTTGGGGGGGGTAGACATGGTCCGGCTAGCTCTGAGGCATGTGCAGAGTGTCCCCCTTCCCTTGGTACAGAGCCTTCCGTAGCTTATGGTCCAAGGACTTCTGGGCCAGAGGGTGCCCCAGCACCTATCTATGATGAGCCAGTGCGGTGTATCAGTTAGAGATTCGGACCTGGCTTCAAATCCTCATCTTTGTATGAAGGTTGCATGGGTTTTTTTCTTTTCTTGAGACGGTCACCGTTTCTAGGCCTAGCCTGCCTTGCAAGGTTGTTGTGTGGAAGGGAGAACCACGTGCCCCGTGCCAAGCTTCTTCGGGGGATTCTGGGGCGTGTTCCGACATCCCTGGTTCAGCTAAGCCAGCGGTCAGGCCCAACCCTTTCCTGCGTTTACATTCAAGTTGTTTATGGTGTGCCTGCCTGCCTTCCCCCTGGGCATCTCAGGGCCAATTTGTCCTTGCCTGTAGGGCAGTGATGGCGAACCTTTTAGAGACCGAGTGCCCAAACTGCGACCCAAAACCCACTTATTTATCGCAAAGTGCCAACACGGCAATTTACCCTGAATACTGAGGTTTTACTTTAGAAAAAAACAACTCCTACATTAACTTAAGGTGATCCAAACAAAGTAAGGAAAGCAATCCCACATGCTTTCATTTACTTAAAATTATTTGGCAGAGAATTTGACACTTTAATGATGGTCTGGGCCTGGCTGGGGTGATGGCAGGTGAGCCCACAGAGAGGGCGTGCCACCTCTGGCACCCGGGCCATAGGTTCGCCACCACTGCTGTAGGGTGAACTCTCTTTGGGAGATGCTTGGAAGCTGCAATTGATCTTACAGTCTTCTAAAGGAGTCCAGTTTACCACAGGGCAGTTTGAAAACTGCCTTCTACTTAGGCGTGGATTGCATCCCTGTTAGCAGCAGCTGGGCCTTTTTTCTCTTCTTCAGTCCCTGGCAGTTCAAGCAAGTAACAGCGTAAGAATGTTGTGGCGGCAGTGATTGTAGAGTTGCCAGGTCCTCTTCCCTCCCCAGTGGGGGTGGGAAGGAGCTCTCTGGGAGTGTAGGGGCAGGCCAACATCACTGCACACGACATCCCCGACTTGATGATGTCACGTGGAAGTGATGTCATCACCCGGGGATGCCACGCCAGCGACGCTCTGGTAATTTGAGCAAAACTCTGTGGTTACCATAGAGTTTTGCCCCAAGCACTAAAGCATGGCTGTGTGGCATCCCTAGTGGGATGACGTCACTTCTGTGTGATGTCATTATGCTGGGGGTGTTGTGGCGGGTGTTGGGGCTTTGGAGCCTGCCAGATCGGGGGAGCTCCTGCTCCCACCTGGGGGCTTGCGACTCTAAGCGATTGCCATGTCCAGATGGGAGGGAAAGGGAGGGGTAGCTCTCGTTCTCCCTTGCTTGTACTGTGGTGTAGTGTTAATAATAATTACCGTATGGCTGTGTGTGTAGTATACCCAGGAGAGCCTAAGATTGTCTGGCAGACAGAAGTTCTAGCTGTTTAGTGAAGCACCGCTAGGGAATCCAAACCCGGGCCTTCCAGATCCTTGTCTGACACTACAACCACTAACCTCCAAGGAATGCCAGGGGCGTGACTCAGAGCCAGGCAATGGCAAACCACCTCTGGGTAGGCTCGTTTTTAAGGCAAGAGACGTTTCAGAGGTCGTTTGCCAATGCCTGCCTCTGAGTCACACCCCTGGTATTCCTTGGAGGTTAGTGGTTGTAGTGTCAGACAAGGATCTGGAAGGCCTGGGTTTGGATCCCCATTCCACTATGGAAGCTTACACAAGAACATCAGAAGAGCCCTGCTGGATCAGACTAGTGGTCCATCTGGTCCAGCATCCTGTCTGACAAGATGGCCAACCAGTTCCTCTGGAGGGCCAACAACATGGCACAGAGGTTGAGGCCTTCCCTTGATGTTGCCTCCTGGCTCTGGGATTCAGAGGCTTAGTGCTTAGTGCCTCTGAATGTGGAGGTTCCCCTCAGTCACCATGGCTTGTTCATTAATGATTTGGAGTTGGCAGTAAGCAGTGAAGTGGCTAAATTGCGGATGATACGAAGTTGTTCAGGGTGGTGAAAACCAGGGAGGATTGTGAGGCACTCCAAAGGATCTGTCAAGGATGGGCAAGTGGGCGTCAACATGGCAAATTGGGTTCAGTGTGGCCAAGTGCATTGGAGCCAAAAATCCTAAATATAAATACACATTGATGGGGTCTGAACTGGCAGAGACTGAACAAGAGAGAGATCTTGGAGTTGTAGTAGATAACTCACTGAAAATGTCGAGACAGTGTGTGACTGCAATAAAGAAGGCCAATGCTATGCTGGGGATTATTAGGAAGGGTATTGAAAACAGATCAGCCATATCATAATGCCCTTATATGGGTAGGGCGGGATACAAATCCCATAATAAATAAAATAATGCTCCTATATAAATCAATGGTGCGACCTCATTTGGAATACTGTGTGCAGTTCTGGTCACCACACCTTAAAAAGGATATTATAGCTTTGGAAAAAGTGCAGAAAAGGGCAACTCGAATGATAAAAGGGTTGGAACGCTTTCCCTATGAAGAAAGGTTAAGGCGCTTGGGACTCTTTAGCTTGGAGAAACGACGACTGAGGGGTGACATGATTGAGGTTTATAAGATTATGCATGGGATAGAGCAGGTAGAAAAAGAGGTACTTTTCTCCCTTTCTCACAATACAAGAACTCCTGGGCACTCAATGAAATTGCTGAGCTTTTAGAACGGATAAAAGGAAGTCCTTCTTCACCCAAAGAGTGATTAACACTTGGAATTCACTGCCACAGGAATGGCTTCAAGCATGGACGGCTTCAAAAGGGAATTAGATAAGCATATGGAGCAGAGGTCCATCAGTGGCTATCAGCCACAAGGTATAGATAGGGACTCTAGGGCAAGTGATGCTCTGTCTTCTTGGTGCTTGGGGGGGGTCAACAGTGGGAGGGCTTCTAACGTCCTGGCCCCACTGGTGGACCTCCTGATGGCACCTGGTATTTTTGGCCACTGTGTGACAGAGTGTTGGACTGGATGGGCCTTTGGCCTGATCCAGCATTGGCGTCTCTTATATTCTTAACGTAACTTGCTTTGGGCCCTCATTGAGGAGGGCATAAAAGGTTAAAGGTAAAGGTTTCCCATTGTTTGGAAGCCAGTCGAATCCGACTCTAGGGATGCGGTGCTCATCTCCGTTTCCAAGCTGAAGAGCCAGCGCTGTCCGAAGACTTCTCCGTGGACATGTGGCTGGCATGACCGGACGCCGAGGCGCACGGAATGCTGTTACCTTTCCACTGAAGCGGTACCTATTTATCTACTTGCAGTGTCTTGCTTTCGAACTGCAATGAAATAAATGGACAGAGCTGGTTTGTCCTCATCTCCCCTCATGACCATGGAACTGGCCCCGATCCCTCCCCCTAATGATAGATGGTCCGTAACAGTCCCTTTATTATCATCTCGAACCCTTCAGCACCTCTGATGCTTCCTCCCAGCGGATGGCGGATGGCCTTGTGCCATGCTCTTTCCATCACTGATTTTTTCTGTCATTAGTCTTTACTGTTCGGTGAGCCAGTTTGGTGTAGCGGTTATGAATGCAGACTCTAATGTGGGAGAACCAGGTTTGATTCCCCACTCCTCCACACGCAGCTGCTGGTGTGACCTTGGTTCAGTCACAAGTTCTTTCAGAGCTGTTCTCTCGGGAGCAGTCCTCCAAAGAGCTCTCTCAGCCCCACCTGCCTCGCAGGGTGTCTCTTGTGGGGAGAGGAAGGGAAGGAGATTGGAAGTTGCTTGCACCTGCTGGATGACCTTGGGCAAGCCATAGTTCTGATAAGAGCTGTTCTTGAAAAAGAGCAGTTTCTGTCAGAGCTCTCTCAGCCCCACCTACCTCACAGGCAGTGTTCCCTCTAAGCTGAGTTAGTGTGAGCTAGCTCACAGTTTTTTAGCCTCCAGCTCACAGTTTTTTGTCTTCGCACAGGAAGGATGGCCCCAGAGCAAACTAATTTATGCAGTAAGCCAAATCGCTTGCTCACAACTTAAATGCTGGTAGCTCACAAAGTAGAATTTCTGCTCGCAAGAGTCCACAGCTTAGAGGGAGCATCGCTCACAGGGGTGTCTGTTGTGGGGAGGGGAAGGGAAAGGAGTTTGTAAGCTGCTCTGAGACACCTTTGGGTAGTGAAGGGCGGGATATAAATCCAGTCTCCTCCTCCTCCTTCTTTGAGACACCTGAAGGTAGAAAAAAGTGAGGTATAAAAACCAACTCTTCTTCTTCTGTCTTGTTGTATACGATCTATGAGCTCAACCAACTATGTGTCCTTCATTTTGTCCAGTGGGAGAATAAGAGTTCCGGAGCAGAACAAGTTCACCGGAGACTCCCTGGCTCTCGTCTGGCCGTACTTCTTGCCTCCTTACGCTTTCCAAATCCGAGTCGGCGCTCTTTATCTCCTCTACGGGTTGTACAACATGCAGCTTTGTAAGCCGAAACAGAAGGTGAGTCGGATCGTCTTTGCCTCTCCGTCTCTTTTCTGTTCCCCTTCCCCCCGCCCCAAACTTGTATGATTTTGTTCTGTCATATCTTAATTACAGCAGTCTCTGGGATTTAAAATAACTCTAGTATAAGACAGTAGTGAAGAAGGTGGATGGTGAGCTGAGGGAGTCCTGCGTTCGAATCTTGCCCTTGTTAGGTGTGCGCTTGCTCAGAATGTTACGTGATTGGGAGCATTCTCCTCCTCTTCCTTGTTGACCATCCCAGAGAGAACAAAATTGGTTGAAATAGCTCCGCATCAAGGATGGAGAACATACTCTCCTAGCATGCGCAGTGAGCTAGTGGTTCTGTCAGAGTCCCACAGCAATCAGTTCCCAACAACTTTCATTCAAAAGAGTAAAGTTTATTGTGTACAGTAAAGGCAGGTCTTCTGTGCACACATTCTGTGTTAGAACTACCGGAAAACGCACCAGCGGAGAGTTATACATAATTCAGAGGGTCCCCCTGACAACCCAGGTCCCATCAGGGCATCAGCAAAGGCCCGCCTAAGCTAACGGGTCAACATTCCCAGGGGAGAGCAGTAACAAGGTACCAAGGCCACTAGCTGAGGCTACATAGATAAGAAGAGCATAAGAAGAAATGAGACTTAAGATTCCAGGACAGAAGCAGACCAACATCTCCCCCCACCCCCCACCAGCCATGGCAGCAACGCCAGAGGCTCAGCTGACAGGTTCATTCTCACTCCCCAAACAGCTTTGTGCTTCGAGAGCCAGTTTGGTGTAGTGGTTAAGTGTGCGGACTCTAATCTGGGAGAACTGGGTTTGATTCCCCACTCCTCCACTTTCACCTGCTGGATGACCTTGGGCAAGCCGTAGTTCTGATCAGAGCTGTTCTTGAAAAAAGAGCAGTTTCTGTCCGAGCTCTCTCAGCCCCACCTACCTCACAGGGTTTCTGTTGTGGGGAAGGGGAAGGAGTTTGTAAGCCGCTCTGAGACTCCCTTGGGTAGTGAAGGGCGGGGTATAAATCCATTCTCTTCTTCTTCTTCAATGGTGAGGTCACAGATGCCAGGACCAGCTTATCAGGAAAAGATACAGAAAATCAGGCTGCAGGCAGGTTGCAGGAGAGTGCAGTGTGGCGAGGCTTTTCTGAATGTATGCCAAAATGTTTTAAAAATAGGGTTTCTAGCAGCAGGAGTTGTGGGGGCGGGGCTTTGCTCTGCCCCACCGTAGCTACATGCTCGATCACCATAAGTTGGTAAGGACTTGACAGCAATTTATATACACACAGAGGGCTTTTCCCCCCTGGGGGAATGCACTGGAACAGATTTCCGGAACCTCTTCGGCAAAATTCTTTTAAAAATGTTTTAAAGTTCACAAGTTCACAAATTTCTTTTCCCTCTTGAGAGTTCTGGCACCTCTCTCCCCCCCCTCAAAAGGGCCCTGCGCACACACATGCTTCAGTGCCCATGTGCAACTCCTGATCCTAGTCACTTAGACGTAGATGCGAGTGTGCAAATTTTTGTGGCTGTGGAAATTTCCCAATGTCAACTGAAGCTTCAGTGGCTGCTAAATTATTATTATTTTTTTAAAAAAACATCAGCAGTAATAATATGTAGTTCTGCCTAAGGATGAAACTTTTGTGTGTGTGTGAAAAATCAAAATACTGTACATGCAATACTTAACTTTCTTATCAAACCTAAACTTATTTTGCTACTTTAACAACATAAAATGCATTATTTATAACTCAGCATATACAGTTGTATTAATGTGCATATTCATGGAATTATAAGTATAAATGCTTTAATATGTTTTTTTTAGTAAGCCCCTCCCATCTTCCCCCAAATTTCCCAGTTTTTCCATTGGAAAAAAGCCCTGGGGGGCAGAAAAAGGGGGTTAACTCCAATTCCTTCCTCCCTCCCTTCCCCCCTCCCCCTCTCTCTCCTTCTTTCTCTCTCTCTTCCTTCCCTCCTTCCCTCCCTCCCTCCTTCCCTCCTTCCTTCCATTTTCATCTCTCTCTCTCTCTCTCTCTCTCTCTCCTTCCTTTCTCTCTCTCTCTCCCCCCCCTTTTCTTCCTTCCATTTTCTCCTTCCTTCCCATTTTCTACTCAGGGCTTACGATTTCTATGAAACAGCCTTAGTTTTTAAGTATTAATCACTACTACTACAATTTACATCTTTCATCTGGTTAGCAATATGGGCTTTTCTCAGCTTTGCTGTATCTAGACTGTATTTCTGACCTGAATCTGAAGAAATACCCGTGTGATCCCTGTTCCAGATCCGAGTCGCGCTCAAAGATTGGTCTGAAGTCATGAACTTCCAACAGGAGCTGTTAAACGCGCATCATTATGACGCGGCTTATGTTTTCAGGAAGCTCCGCCTGGACAGAGCATTCTACTTCACGGCGATGCCAAAGCTGGTGAGTTACCAAACCTTTTGACCAGGGGTGTCAAACATGTGGCCTAGGGCCGGACCAGGCTCCCGGAGGGCTTCCATCAAGCCTGCAGTGGAACTGGCCATCTCCTGCTTCCAGTTCTGCTGCTGCTGCTGCATCATAGCTTGCTTCGCCAGACTCTCGTAATCACTCAGCCATCTCATGTTTCAACTTGGGTCCTAGGCTCAGAACTCTGAGCATGAGATTTCCGTGGTGAATGTCAATAAATCAAAAGTAGGTTTGCAGCATACAGAGCTAATGTTTTAAGCATGTTTTTATTTTAAGTAAAAAAGCCCCTTTGTGTTTGTGTCCTTTATAAAGTTTATATCTCCGGTACCTGGTGTTACCTTTTATGACTCACATGGCCCGGCCCAACAAGGTCTTATTTATGTCAGGTCCGGCCCTCATAACAAATGAGTTCGACACCCTTGCCTTTGACACTGTTGTTAAATCACTTTATGTTCTTTTTGTAGAAAAGGGGAAACAGTCCTGGTTCACTTTAAAAAAAAAATAAAATGAATAAACTGTTTATTGATTGAAACAAAATACAGTGCAGTACTTGGTCAAACGTGAATGAAAACCATTACAAGAATGATCATTTAGTTCATGGTGAGTTAAGGGCTGCCATTACAAGTTATCTGCCGATTTTGAGCTTATGCAAATAATTAAAAATAAAAATAACTGGAGCTTGAGCTAGTTAAGAAGAAGAAGAGATTGGATTTATACCCTGCCCTTCACTACCCAAAGGTGTCTCAGAGCGGCTGACCAACTCCTTTCCCTTCCCCTCCCCACAACAGACACCCTGTGAGTTAGGTGGGGCTGAGAGAGCTCTGACAGAAACTGTTCTTTTTCAAGAACAGCTGTACCAGAACTATGGCTTGCCCAAGGTCATCCAGCAGGTGCAAGTGGAGGATAAGGAGGAGATTGGATTTATACCCCGCCCTTCACTACCCCAAGGTGTCTCAGAGCGGCTTACAAACTCGTTTCCTTTCCCCTCCCCACAACAGACACCCTGTGAGGTAGGTGGGGCTGAGAGAGCTCTTGACAGAAGCTGCTCTTTTTCAAGAACAGCTCTGACAGAACTACGGCTTGTCCAAGGTCACATCAGCAGGTGCAAGTGGAGGAGTGGGGAATCAAATCCGGTTCTCCCAGATTAGAGTCCGCGCACTTAACCACTACACTACACCAGATTCTTCAACTACTTAATGGTACAGATAGAAGGCGTGTGAACCCATTAAAGGTGCTTTCTGTAAACTTCCTTCTGGTTCACTTTTGATCACGAAATCTTGTAAGAAATCTATATAACCATGGCGTATGAAAAACGAACTCTTAAAATGTGTCTGGCTTAAATGTGCCCTCTGGCACTCCTTTCTGTGCTCAGACATGTGGATGAATGTAGTCCCAGTACTTCTTCCTGCCCGTGGAGTCCTGCTGGAGATTCTCTGATCCCCGCAGCGTCCGAAGATCAGACGTTACCAGGGAAACGCAGGGTCCTCAACTCCCCGTTTCTCTTATAATACCAATGTGGGGATTAAACAGTGAAGTGTGCCACTGAGTTGCAACCAGTGTTCCCTCTAAGCTGAGTTAGTGTGAGCTAGCTCACAGGGTTTTTTTAGCCTCTGGCTGTCAGCTATGCTGCCATGATGTTTATGGGCGAGAGTGCAGCTGCTTGACCTGTGTACCAACTGATGCCGCATTCCTTTGTCCTCCTTATCTATGACCTTGCTAGCTAGCTGTCTATGGAGCGTGTCCCCATGTATTATCCATGGGATCGGTTTCGATTCCCAGCTTTGGCTGTAACGACCTGAGGCCCCATTTTCCCGCGCGCGGGAGTCAGGCCGATTGGCCTATTTTGGGGGGGGGGGGGTGTACGAATGCCCTATATCCCTTTATGCTTGTAGGAAAGTAGCCATTCCTAACAGTACTGATGTTACTGCCTCTATAGCTCTTACATTAAAGTATAACCTTATGACAAGTGTGTACCTCTTTGTTTGGCTGTGGATTCTGACTCTGGCTCACACGCTTCTGTCTTAGGTCAGGAAGGGATGGCTCCAGAGCAAGCTAATTTATGCAGCAGCCAAATCTCTCGCTCACCGCTTGAATGCCAGTGGCTCCCAAAGTAGAATTTTTGCTCACAAGATTCGGCAGCTTAGAGGGAGCATTGGTTGAAACTGACTCGCGATGATCCCGTGAAGTTCCACCGCGTGGGGGGTTTCTAAGGCAGGAGATGAGCAGAGGCGGTTTGCCATTGCTCTCCTCTGCACAGCAGTCCCAGTCTTCCTCGGTGCTCTCTCCCACCCGAGTACCAACTGTGCTAAGCTTCCAAGCTCTTATGAAGGCTATGAGGAAAGGTGAAAGCGCTTAGGGCTCTTTAGCTTGGAGAAACGACGGCTGAGGGGAGACATGAATCAATGTTCCCTCTAAGCTGTGGAGTCTTGTGAGCAAAAATTCTACTTTGTGAGCTACTGGCATTAAAGTTGTGAGCGAGCAATTTGGCTACTGCGTCAATTAGTTTGCTCTGGAGCCATCCTTCCTGAGCGATGACAAAATTGTGTGAGCCGGAGGCTAAAAAACTGTGAGCCGGCTCACACTAACTCAGCTTAGAGGGAACACTGGACATGATCGAGGTTTATAAGACTATGCCTGGGATAGAGCAGGTAGAGAAAAAGGTACTTTTCTCCCTTTCTCACAATACAAGAACTCGTGGGCACTCCATGAAATTGCTGAGCGGTCGGGTTAGAACGGATAAAAGGAAGGACTTCTTCACCCAAAGAGTGATTAACACTTGGAATTCACTGCCACAGGAGGTGGTGGTGGCTACAAGCATGGACGGCTTCAAAAGGGAATTAGATAGGCATATGGAGCAGAGGTCCATCAGTGGCTATTAGCCACAAGGTATAGATAGGGGCTCTGGGGCAAGGGATGCTCTGTCTTCTTGGTGCTTGGGGGGAGGGTCAACAGTGGGAGGGCTTCTAATGTCCTGGCCCCACTGGTGGACCTCCTGATGGCAGCTGGTATTTCTAGCCACTGTGTGACACAGAGTGTTGGACTGGATGGGCCTTTGGCCAGATCCAACATTGGCATCTCTTATGTTCTTAGGTTAAGGCTGCAGTGTGCTGGATGGTTGGTTGATTTATTCCACCCCCTCCGTCAGATTTTCGGCTGCAAATCCCTCCCCCAGGGGCTATTTTAAAAGTTCTTCTCTCCCTCCCCACTCCTGTTTCCCCATGGTGAGCTCTGAAATGGGAAAGTGTGCCTGACTGGGGTGGGTGTGTTAAGTGTGCAAACTCTAATCTGGGAGAACCGGGTTTGATTCCCCACTCCTCCACATGCAGCTGCTGGTGTGATCTTGGGTCAGTCACAAGTTATTTCAGAGCTGTTCTCTCATGAGCCGTTCTCGAAAGAGCTCTCTCAGCCCCACCCACCTCGCAGGGTGTCTCTTGTGGGGAGAGGAAGGGAAGGAGATTGGAAGCTGCTCTGAGACTCCGAGTGAAGGGTGGGGTATAAATCCATTCTCCTCCTCTTCCTCTTTTTCCTCTTCTTTCTTCTTTTGTGTGTGTGTGGGGGGGGGGGGGAGACATTTGCAACAAAGAATCACACTCAGGTTGTATTAAGCATCGCTTCTTCGTGCCAGACTTCCGTTATTAATGCCTTCATCCCTGTAATTCCCCATTGGAGAGTTGGGATCTTGCTTGAACACATGAATCTGCCTTATACAGAATCGGTACCTTGGTCCATCAGGGTCAGCATCAGACTGACAGCACCTCTCCAAGGTCTCAGGTTGAGGTCTTCTCACATCACCTACAGTCTGATCCTTTTAACTGGAGATACATGGATTGAACTTGAGAACTTATGCAAATAACTAATAATGGGTCAAAATTAAATCAGAAAAGCTTTCGGCTAAACATTGGGAAGAACTTCCTGACTGTTAGAGCGGTTCCCCAGTGGAACAGGCTTCCTCGGGAGGTGGTGGGATCTCCTCCTTGGGAGCTTTTCAGACAGAGGCTAGGTGGCCCCCTGACAGCAATGCAGGTTCTGTGAACGGAGGCAGATCACGAGAGGGAGGGCAGGCAGGGTTGCCTCAGTGCTTAGTTCTCGTGGCCCTTTCTTACACGCCCAGAGAAATGCTGATCGCCACTTTGGGGTCAGGAAGCAATTTTTCCCCAGGCCAGTTTGGCTGGAGATCTTGGAGGGGTTTTTGTCATCTTCTGGGCGTGGAACATGGGTCACTGCGGATGGGGGGTGGGGAGGTCTTTGTGAATATCCCGCATTGTGCAGGGGGTTGGACTAGATGACCTTGGAGGTTTTATTGTTTTTATTGTTTTAACTTTGGCATTTATGCCTTGTTGTAAGCCGCCCTGAGCCTTTGGGGAGGGTGGGATATAAATCCTAAAATAAAATACAAATAAAGGAGGCCTCCAGCGTCAGCATCTGCTCACGTTTCACCTCTTCAGGGTCCCACCTGATCTGTCTTGCCTCCCATTTCCTTTTTTAAAATCCTGACATGTGACCATCTATCCATAGCTTAATTTTAGGGCCAAGAAGGCATCGCAAGATACAGCTGAGATAAGGAAGGAATTTAAGGACCCGAGTGACCGAGTCACCATGCTCGCGACCGAGGACGTCTTAGAGGTACGCTAATCCCGTTCTTCTGCATTGTGGCGGTCGTAAGACAGTGTCTGCCTGTTTTGTCTGTCTGGAGACCTGCAAGCCCCTGTGTGCATAGAAATATGTATTTACACATGAAGGCGACATCTTCATATGCCAGCACAGCAAAAAAAAGTCCCCCTTCAGTGTTTCTGGAATGGGTGCACCTCTGGATTGTATAGGCTGTAGTTCCTAGTCTTCCCATGTAGTTGTTTTTAAAACGGGAGGGTCTTTTCAGTCGAATTGTCCCCTGGAAGCATGCTGCATTGGCCTGCTGCAGACGCAGAATTCTTTTTAAAAAATATATATTTTCATTTTATTATATAGTTGAAAAGGTACAGGGAAAGAAAGGGGAGGAAAGGGGTATGAAAATAACCGTTGGCCATCAGAAGCTTTTACATTTGTAGAGGGCACAATTCTAATATATAATACAAAGAGCAGAATAATCAAAATATTTCTCAGCTCAGATACATAAACTTCTAATAATACCTGTGTACTCTGGATTCAATGGAAATTTGGTTTTAAGAATTTTCTGGATCTCTGCATGTATTTCAATCCAACGTTTCCTTGGGTTTTTGTTTTTTTTTTGCAAGTCCACCACATATGATAGAAGGTGCCTGTATAGAAAAATTGCTTTCTGCTTCTATATTCACATGCCTTCTCCTGTGATGTCGTTTGATAACATGCTGTGTCTTATTTCCTGTTGCAAGCCAAATGGTGAGGCCACATGGCCTCAATAGCCATGCCATAAACCCACATTCTTTCACACTTTCATGCCAAAAGCCAGACCTCATGGCTACACTTTCTGGCCCACATGCGACAAGTCATGTACACAATGGAGTTTGGGTCAGCTGACTGCAGGCAGGGTCTCCAAACTTCCAGCCAGTCCCACAAACCTGATGTTAGCAACCATGGCAACCAACAATTGGGCACACCCATGCCCACTCGCAATTGGCTACATCTAATTTGTGACTGGAATTGGGGTATAATTGTTTGATCCCTATGGGAGTGAGCTCTCTTGCTCTCTTGCCCTTGCTCTCTCCCCTGTCCTTGTCTGTTTTATTGCACCTGAAATGCTGCCTCTTGAGAGACAAAGAGTTGCTTTGTGAACTGGAGCACAAGGATGTGCAAAGATGGGATTTCCCTTCAAAATCCCTTGGACTATCCTGGACTGTGGATGTTCTGACTTGGTAACTATGAATCATTAATGTTAAGGCAAACAGCCCTAGCCTTTGTTATTTTTGTAATCTCTGGTGGTCTATGCTAAGCTCTGTACTGAATACAGATCCTTCTTATTGCTAATTTGTCTCTGATGTTGTAACTGAATTCCAAGTCTGAGTCTTGTGCCTAAATGCTCATCATATACGCTAACATTGGAGAGTAAAAGTGTGCATCTCTAGATTGAGTTGCTAGTGTGTTCTGTCCCAGATGCCAAGTAAGGGTTTGAATCTCTCCCTTAGGAAAGGCAGGGACTAGTGAAAAGAGAGATTCTGGTGGCCTTTTGTTCTGAAAACCAGAGAGGATATACACCATCTCGTGGTTTGTTGTTTAATGTACTGAAAAGTACAGGATTCCCTCTCATTCCTGGCCTGGCCTGGGTGGGCTAATCTCTGTACAGTGCCTTCTAATTCTTTGCATTTCCAACAAATTCCTTTATACTAATTCTTGTCCATTTTTTTGACGTCCATTGGAGTAAGATATCAATGGAATAACCTCTTCTTACATCTCATCAGTGTTAATCATAGTTCCGGAGAGCACCCACGTGGTCTGCGGTAGAATGGCTATAGCTAAAGGTAAAGGTTTCCCTTGCTCGAAAGCCAGTCGAATCCGACACCCAGACGGCGGTGCTTGTCTCTGTTTCCAAGCTGAAGAGCCAGCACTGTCCGAAGACGTTTCATGTGGCCAGCATGACTAGACGCCGAAGACGTTTCATGTGGCCAGCATGACTAGACGCCGAGGCGCACGGAACGCTGTTACCTCCCCACCGAAGCGGTACCTATTTATATACTGGCAATTTCCCGCTTTCGAACTGCTAGGTTGCCAGGAGCTGGGGCCAGAGATGGGAGCTCACTCCGTCACGCGGCACCCGGGTCTCGAACTGCTGAACTACCAACCTTCCGGACTGCAGCTCAGTGTCTTAACCACTGAGCCACTGCAGCCCCTAAGCTATATTTGACCCCAATAGCACCCTAGACCAGCGAGATTTTCGGTGTACGAGCTTTCGAGAGTCAGAACTCCCTTGGTCAGATATCTTACAAAGGGAGCTTTGACAGTCAAAAGCTCATACACCAAAAGTCTTGTTGGTCTCTAAGGGGCTACCGAACTTGAATCTATAAAATGGCTGCCGCAGGGGGTGGAGCCACCCACAGGACGTCAAAGAGTGAGTTTGTGCGTAACTCTTAGCGGTTAGTCTTGAAACACATCGGGCAAAAGTTATGTTTAACAGGATGCCTTTTAAAATGAACACATGGTTTAAAAATATTTTCTTGCACGCACGCATAGCTGGCTGAAAAACCCTGCAGTATCTTGCCTTCATTTTGCAGGCCTCTAACCTGGCTCAAGAGGAGCTGCGGTGGCTCAAGTGGTTAAGACGCTGAACTGCAGGCTGTGGAAGGTCGGTAGTTCAGCAGTTCGAGACCTGGGTGCCGCATGAGGGAGTGAGCTCCCGTCTCTAGGTACAGCTCCTGCCAACCTAGCAGTTCGAAAGCAAGAAATTGCAAGTAGATAAATAGGTACCACTTCGGTGGGAAGGTAACAGCGTTCCGTGCACCTTGGTGTTTAGTCATGCCGGCCACATGACCACGGAAACGTCTTCGGACAGCGCTGGCTCTTCGGCTTTGAAACGGAGATGAGCACCGCAACCCTAGAGTCGGATTCGACTGGCTTTCGAGCAAGGGAGGGAAGGTCTGTAGCTCGGCAGTTCGAGACCCGAGTGTCACGTGATGGAGTGAGCTCCCGTCTCTGGTCCCAGCTCCTGCCAAGCTATCAGTTCGAAAGCAAGAAACTGCAAGTAGATAAATAGGTCCCGCTTTGGTGGGAAGGTAACAGCGTTCCGTGCGCCTCGGCGTCTAGTCATGCCAGCCACATGACCATGGAAACGTCTTCGGCTTGGAAACGGAGATGAGCACCGCATCCCTAGAGTCGGGTTTGACTGGCTTTCGAGCAAGGGAAACCTTTACCTATCTTAACCTGGCTGCGTGAATGGGGCAAAATCTCCACCTGGCTCCTCCCACTTTCTAAAAATACTTGGTGGGATCCAGGAAAGGTGTCAGTGAGCACTGTGGTGCCCGGGGGCACCATGTTTGGGACCCCTGGTTTAGTTAACAGTCTTAATGTGATGCATGTATTAAACAGATATTCAGTTCTCTCTGCTCTCATTCTCAGGTACTGAGACTGTGCTAGGATGCATGGGTACAAGAACTGCTTTGTCACTTTCTTTTCCCAGTTTGGTGTAGCGGTTTAAGTGCGCGGACTCTAATCTGGTTTGATCCCCCACTCCTCCATGTGCAGCTGCTGGTGTGACCGTGGGTCAGTCACAGTCCTCTCAGAGCTCCCTCAGCTCCACCTGCCACACAGGGTGTCTGTTGTGGGGAGAGAACAGGAAGGTGACCGTAAGCCGCTCTGAGACTCTGAGTGAAGGGCGGGGTACAAATCCAATCTTCTTCATATTCTCTTCTTGTTATTTTAAGGAACTTGAAAATGTCCATCAGCACTACCAGAAAATGAAGTGCCTGATCTCCATGGACAAATCCCGGCCGGACAAGGCTCTTGATCTGATAAAAGATGACTTTGTAGTCAGTTTCAACAATATGATCCTGGAGCATCAGCAGTGGCAGAAGGACAGGCTGGTAGGTGAATCAGGCAATGATGACATCCAATCAGGACGTGTCTCCAGGAGAAGCCTCTAGAAAATTGCCTCACCGCCTCCGGCTCTCCCCCTTCCATAATACGGACTGCAGGTTCTCATGCTTTGGCCTTGAATATGAGAAGAGGCCTGTAGGCCCAGAGGCCAATTAGTAACACCTGCAGAACAGACCAGGTCCGCTACTGTTCACATTAACCCTCAAAGGGAGATCAGGGGTGCTTTGCCTCACAGACCAGGTTACGTAAGTGTACGAGAGCTCTCTTGTACAGAACAAAGGGCGGCATTGGGGTGAAAAGAATAAAGTGCCATCAGATTGCAACCGACTTACGGTGACTCCTTCGAGCTTTCCAAGGCAAGAGGTGTTCAGAGGTGGATTGCCATTGCCTGCCTCTGTGTAGTGACCCTGGGCTTCCTTGGTGGTCTCCCATCCAAGGACTGACCAGGGCTGACCCTGCTAAGCTTTGGCCTCTTGAGCTTGGACTCTCATGAGCTTGGGCTTTTCAGGCCGCTATGTCTGGTTTCCTGGAGTCCTAGAGGGTTTGTAATGTATAAGTCAAGTCTATTGCGGGTGCCCCCTTGGCAATTTATAGGCTTGTTTATTAATTAGTGACAGCTTGCCTTTTCCTGTGGCTTGGGGAGGGATGGTCGCATGGTACATAATCTCTCTTGGAGGTGAAATCTTGAATTCATGGTACTGGTTAATTACAAAGCTGATCGAAGGAAGAGGAAGGAATCAAGGGACATCCATATTGTGATGTGGGTAAGAACATAAGAAGAGGCCCTGCCTGATCAGACCAGTGGTCCCTCTAGTCCAGTATCCTGTCTCACACAGTGGCCAGCCAGTTCTTCAGAAGGGCCAACGACAGGGCATGGAGGCCAAGGCCTTCATTAGAACATCAGAAGAGCCCTGCTGGATCAGACCAGTGGTCCATCTAGCCCAGTCTCCTGTCTCACACAGGGGCCAGCCATTTCCTCTGGAGGGCCACCAACTGGGCACGGAGGCCAAGGCCTTCTGCTGATGTTGCCTCCTGGCTCTGGGATTTGGAGGATTAGTGCCTCTGAGTGTGGAGGTTCCCCTTAGCCAACATGGCTGGTAGCCATTGATAGGCTTATCCTCCATTAATCTATCTAATTCCCTTTCTGTGGCCATCACTACATCCTCTGGCAGAGAATTCCACATTTTAATCACTTTCCGTGTAAAGCAGTAAAAGCATACTTCCAGTATCTGCTCCTGTTCAGGGTTTATCTGCGCACGGTACTAACATCTGCAATTCCTCTTGGTTGTGTGAACATCTCCAATCTCCACGTTTAAGTCTTTATGTTGAAATGTCTGGTCTTCCAGGAGCCATCCTTAATGGGCAGGAGGAAAGAAGCGACCAATGAAAAGACCAGTGACAAAGAAGGAACTTCTCAGGAGTCAGAGGTAAGGAAGTTCCTGCGGTGATTCCTGGTACTAAGAGTGCAATCCTAAACAGAGTCATTCCAGTCTAAGCCCATTGAAAGTAACTCTCCTTCGGACTGCACCGGGAGGGACATAAAGAGCTTGCTACCCAGTCATCAGTTGGTTCGGCTAAGCATCCTAGTCAATGGAAGACTGAATCATTGTACATTTAGTGGAGTCCGATGGTGTGTTCAGATTTCATAGGACGTCTGTCTGGTGCAATACTGCCTAGCTACTGCTACATCATAAACACCTTTACCTAACGTACCATTATTCCTGATCCAGTTTGGTGTAGTCGTTAGGAGCGCAGATTCTAATCTGGGGGACTGGGTTTGATTCCCCATTCGTCCACATGCAGCTGCTGGTGGGACCTTGGGTCAGTCACAAGTTCTCTCGGAGCTGTTCTCTCAAGGGCAGTCCTCGAGAGAGCTCTCTCAGCCCCACCTGCCTCACAGGGTGTCTGTTGTGGGGAGGGGAAGGGAAAGGAGTTTGTAAGCCGCTCTGAGACTCCTTCGGGTAGTGAAGGGCGGGGTATAAATCCAATCTCCTCTTCCTCTTCTGATCTAATTGTGCAGGACAGCTGGTGGTATTTGAGGACAAACTGATTCCTCTTCCCAATGATTAGGCTCCTGCCAAGTGCTGTATGGGAGTTGTGTACATACACAGCATAAGCAGCTGCATTATATTGAGTCAGGTCATTGGTCTGTCAGGGTTAGTATTGCATACTCAGACTGGCAGCAGCTCTTCCAAGATCTCAGGCAGAGATCTTTCACATTAAGTACTACCTGGTCCTTTTCCCTGGAGATACTGGGGGTTGAACCTGCGACCTTCTGCCTGCCAAGCGGATGCTCTACCACTGAGCCACAGCCCCTCCCCACACCTGTGTCTGTCCCGGAGACATTCTGTAGTGTGGGTACGAGTACTGAAACGGCACTGACTCCAGAACAAGAGCTGTCCAGACAACCCTTAAGGTGCAGCAGTTCAGCCCTGACCTGGATAGCCCAGGCAAGCCCGATCTCATCAGACCTTGGAAGCTAAGCAGGGCCGACCCTGGCAAGTATTTGGATGGGGGACCCCCTAGGAATACCAGGGGCGGGAGGGAAAGGCAGGCTATCAAGCCATTTCTCTGAACGTCCTCCATGCCCCTGTAGGAGTCGCCATAGGTCGCCATGGCTTGGAGGCGCACACACGCACGCACAAATGCAAAAATGAAAGAAAGATGCAGCAATTCAGAGTGCAGAAACAATCAGTGGTCCTATCCAGCCATTTTGGTAGAATGTCAACTCTGAACTTTGCTTCGGCATGTAATATGAATAATTATTTCCCCGTTTGCAGAGGACCAAAAAGATAACCTGTGAAACTGGGTGTGAGCTTTTCTAACTTTATTATTATTATTTCTCCTCCAGGCATCGGAAAGAGTCAGAATCTTAGCCTGCATCAAAGCCAAGTCTTACTCTTCAGTTGCTCAGGTGTGTGTGCAGAGTCCGTGGGGGCTGGGAAGTTGCGTGCCAGTGTGGTTAATGCTCCCTCTAAGCTGTGGAGCCCTGTGAGCAAAAATTCTACCTTGTGAGCTACTGGCATTAAAGTTGTGAGCCGGTGATTCGGCTGCTGCCTAAACCAGTTTGCTCTGGAGCCACCCTTCCTGAGCGAAGACAAAAATATGTGAGCCAGAGGCTAAAAAACTGTGAGCTAGCTCACACTGACTCATCTTAGAGGGAACACTGGTTGTGTGTATGTGAAATACGTGTGTGGTAGTAAGGAAATGAAACCTCCAGTCCCAAAATATTTGCTGGATCGTCACTTATATTGTCATCTTTGATTTGATAAAATGTCATCTGTAGATTATAGAAGCACAGCCACCAGAGCTCGGAGAGCATCTTCTGTTTTTACTACTGGTGTTCCCCCTCCGATTAAAATGCCAATAAAATAAGGCGGATTTTTGACTGCTGAAGACTTTTCATCTTTAATGAGATTAAAGGAAAGGACAGAAAGTGACGATCCTGAGGTGTAGAAGGGCATTGATGTCACCAGTGTTCCCTCTAAGCTGAGTTAGTGTGAGCTAGCTCATAGTTTTTTAGCCTCTGGCTCACACATATTTGTCTCAGCTCAGGAAGGATGGCTCCAGAACAAACTAATTTATGCAGCAGCCAACTCGCTCGCTCACAAATTTAATGCCAGGAGCTCACAAAGTAGAATTTTTGCTCACAAGACTCCACAGCTTAGAGGGAACATTGGATGTCACCACAGGTTTTTGTTTTGTTTTGTTTTTTAAAAGCTTAATCTGGCCCTCACAGTATGAATTCATGACATTGTCATGCTGCGTGTAGTATTAAACAATCTGGCAGTAAACCTATAGCAGATTTAACAGTAAAAGTATATGCCACGAACTCGATTTTGTTCAGACCTCCACCTTACTTGTCAAAAGCGGCCAAGAAAAGGAATGGGACAACTATTTGGTGGAATTTTTATTTTTGGGGGGGAAAGCATTCTGTTGGCGAGGACTTGCAATGGAGGATGGTGATATGAGTGACACTTAAATTTTGTCAGTCTTGAAGGTGCCGCTGGACTCTTAACTCTTTTCTGCAGCTATAAATAATGTAATAAATAGACTGTATTCTTCCAGCTGGTACCCATCTCCTGCTACCTTCCCATCTAAATTTTTGAATGCATGCCTTTAAAAAAAAAGAAAAAAGATCCGTTTGAGATCTCTGAATTAAGGTTCACTTTAAGGGAGTACAGCAAGGGGTCACTTGAAGGCTGAAGGATTGAGAACATACGAACATAAGAGACGCCAATGTTGGATCAGGCCAAAGGCCCATCTAGTCCAACACTCTGTGTCACACAGTGGCCAGAAATACCAGGTGCCATCAGGAGGTCCAGCAGTAGGGCCAGGACATTAGAAGCCCTCCCACTGTTGATCCCCCCCAAGCACCAAGATGACAGAGCATCACTTGCCCCAGAGCCCCTACCTATACCTTGTGGCTAATAGCCACCGATGGATCTCTGTTCCATATGCTTATCCAATTCCGTCTCGAAGCCGTCCATGCTTGTAGCCGCCGCCACCTCCCGTGGCAGTGAATTCCATGTGTTCCATTACATGGCTGAACGTCTGGCTTTTTCAGAATATTGTTCCTTTGTGAACGCTTTTCTCAGAACTGGCTCCCCATTACTTACCTTTTACCCGTCTGGCTTTAAAACTTCCAGGTTTCCAAATCGAGGCGGCATCGTCAAGTTACGCTGGAGTCCGCTGCGCCGGGTTCAGATCACAGAATAACTAAATCGCCTAGAGCGGAAAAAACCAACACGAAATTACAACCAGTGACGAAGCGAGAATCTCTGCAAAACACAGGTAGATAGGGGAGGCGCTCCAGCAGGGCTTTTCCTCTGTTTGTATGTTCTTGCGACTACATATGTATTCCAGTCTCTCTGAATTTCCATTTTTCCAGCCTTCCACAAAAAAGGTGCGTATGTGTAGCTTTTCCATACCTTCAAAGGTTTTGGAAATGTTGCATCTTTACCAGTGTCCCCTCTAAGCTGAGTTAGCGTGAGCTAGCTCACAGTTTTTTTAGCCTCTGGCTCACACGTTTGTGTGGAGAACCATGTTTAATTCCCCACTTTTCCACATGCACGTGCCGGTGTGACCTTGGGTCAGTAACAAGTCAATTCAGAGCTGTTCTCTCAGGAGCAGTCCTCGAAAGAGCTCTCTCAGCCATAGTTCTGAAAAGAGCTGTCCTTGAAAAAGAGCAGTTTCTGTGAAGAGCTCTCTCAGCCCCACCTACCTCACAGGGTGCCTGTTGTGGGGAGGGGAAGGGAAAGGAGATTTGTAAGCTGCCCTGAGACTCCTTTGGGTAGTGAAGGGCAGGGTATAAATCCAATATCTTCTTCTTTTACCTCACAGGGTGTCTGTTCTGGGGAGGGGAAGGGAAGAAAGTTTGTAAGCTGCCCTGAGACTCCTTTGGGTAGTGAAGGGCGGGGTATAAATCCAACCTCTTCTTCTTCTTCTTTTACCTCACAGGGTGCCTGTTGTGGGGAGGGAAAGGGAAAGGAGATTTGTAAGCTGCCCTGAGACTCCTCTGGGTAGTGAAGGGCGGGGTATAAATCCAACCTCTTCTTCTTCTTTTACCTCACAGGGTGTCTGTTGTGGGGAGGGGGAGGGAAAGGAGATTTGTAAGCTGCCCTGAGACTCCTTTGGGTAGTGAAGGGCGGGG